GGGGTTATTATGGGATGTGATGGGGTTATTATGGGATGTGATGGGGTTATTATGGGATGTGATGGGGTTATTATGGGGTGTGATGGGGTTATTATGGGATGTGATGGGGTTATTATGGGATGTGATGGGGTTATTATGGGGTTATTATGGGGTTATTATGGGATGTGATGGGGTTATTATGGGATGTGATGGGGTTATTATGGGGTTATTATGGGGTTATTATGGGATGTGATGGGGTTATTATGGGGATGTGATGGGGTTATTATGGGATGTGATGGGGTTATTATGGGGTGTGATGGGGTTATTATGGGATGTGATGGGGTTATTATGGGATGTGATGGGGTTATTATGGGATGTGATGGGGTTATTATGGGATGTGATGGGGTGTGATGGGGTTATTATGGGATGTGATGGGGTTATTATGGGGTGTCGGCGCCCCCCCCCCAGACCCCAAGGTTTTCGACACCCCCGAGGAAGCCGCTTCGGGGTTCCTGGCCTCGCTCACCCAGACCGTGGAGGCCGCCGAGGCCAACGAGACCCGAGGTAATGGGGTGCTATGGGGCTCTATGGGTCCCTATGGGGCGCTATGGGGCGCTATGGGGCTCTATGGGTCTCCATGATCTCCATGGGTCTCTATGGGTCTCTATGGTCCTCTATGGGTCTCTATGGGTCCTTATGGGTCTCCATGGGTCTCTATGGGTCCTTATGGGTCTCCATGGGTCTCTATGGGTCCTTATGGGTCTCTATGGACTCTATGGGTCCCTATTGGTCCCTATGTGTCCCTATGGTCTCAATGGGCTCCATGATCTCCATGGGTCTCTATGGGTCTCTATGGGTCCTTATGGGTCTCCATGGGTCTCTATGTGTCTCAATGGTCTCTATGGGTCCCTGTGGTCCTCTATGGGTCTCTATGGGTAACTATGGGTCTCTATGATCCCTATGGATCCCTATCTGTCTCTATGGTCTCTATGGGTCTCTATTGGCCCCTATGGGTTCCTATGGTCTCTATGGTCTTCTATGATCCCTATGGGTCTCTATGGGTCTCTATGGGTCCTAATGGGTCTCTATGGGTCCCTATGGGTCCCAATGGCTCCCTATGGCTCCCTATGGGTCCCTATGGGTCCCTATGGGCTCTATGGCTCCCTATGGGTCCCAATGGCTCCCTATGGGTCCCAATGGCTCCCAATGGGTCCCAATGGGTCCCTATGGGTCCCAATGGCTCCCAATGGCTCCCAATGGCTCCCTATGGGTCCCAATGGGTGCCTATGGGTCCCAATGGGTCCCTATGGGTCCCAATGGGTGCCTATGGGTCTCAGGCCCCACAGAGAAGCGCCGCATCCGCTTGGGCTCCGCCTCCGCCCTCCACATTTTCCTGCTCCTCGACGCCTCCCAAAGCATCGGAGCCCAGGACTTCGGGGACGCCCGGGATGCCCTGAGGGGGCTGGTGGAGAAGGTGAGACCCATAGGGACCCATAGGGACCCATAGGGACCCATAGGGACCCATAGGGACACATAGAGACCCATAGAGACACATAGAGACACATAGAGACACATAGAGACCCATAGGGGACCATAGAGACCCATAGAGACCCATAGAGACCCATAGAGACCCATAGAGACCATTGAGACCCATAGAGCCCCATAGGGGACCATAGAGACCATAGAGCCCATTGAGACCATAGGGACCCATAGGGACCCATAGGGACCCATAGAGACCCATAGAGACCCATAGAGACCCATAGGGACCCATAGGGACCCATAGGGACACATAGAGACCCATAGGGACCCATAGAGACACATAGAGACACATAGGGACCCATAGAGACCCATAGCGACCCATAGGGACCCATAGGGACCCATAGGGACCCATAGAGACCCATAGAGACCCATAGAGACCCATAGGGACCCATAGGGACCCATTGGGACCCATAGGGACCCATAGAGACCCATAGGGACCCATAGAGACCCATAGAGACCCATAGAGACCCATAGAGACCCATAGGGACCCATAGAGACCCATAGGGACCCATAGGGACACATAGAGACCCATAGAGACCCATAGAGACACATAGAGACCCATAGGGACCCATAGGGACCCATAGAGACCCATAGAGACACATAGAGACCCATAGGGACCCATAGAGACCCATAGAGACCCATAGAGAACCATAGGGACCCATAGAGACCCATAGCGACCCATAGGGACCCATAGGGACCCATAGAGACCCATAGAGACCCATAGGGACCCATAGAGACCCATAGAGACCCATAGCGACCCATAGGGACCCATAGGGACCCATAGGGACCCATAGAGACCCATAGAGACCCATAGAGACCCATAGGGACCCATAGGGACCCATTGGGACCCATAGGGACCCATAGAGACCCATAGGGACCCATAGAGACCCATAGAGACCCATAGAGACCCATAGAGACCCATAGGGACCCATAGAGACCCATAGAGACCCATAGAGACCCATAGAGACCCATAGGGACCCATAGAGACCCATAGGGACCCATAGAGAACCATAGAGACCCATAGAGACACAAAGGGACCCATAGAGACCATAGAGACACATAGAGACCCATAGCGCCCCATAGTGCCCCATGGTGCCCCATAGCGCCCCATAGGGACCCATAGCACCCCAGAGCCCCCCATAGTGTCCTATAGCCCCCCCATAGGGACCCATAGCACCCCATAGGGACCCATAGAGCCTCATAGAGCCCCATAGGGACCCATAGCGCCCCACAGGGACCCATAGCACCCCGTAGCGCCCCATGGCGCCCCATAGCGCCCCATAGCCCCCCCGTAGGGACTCATAGCGCCCCATAGTGCCCCATAGACCCCCATAGGGACCCATAGGTACCTGTAGCACCCCATAGGGCCCCATAGGGCCCCATAGCGCCCCATAGTGCCCCATGGTGCCCCATAGCGCCCCATAGGGACCCATAGCACCCCAGAGCCCCCCATAGTGTCCTATAGCCCCCCCATATGGACCCATAGCGACCCATAGCGCCCCATAGGGACCCATAGCGCCTCATAGAGCCCCATAGGGACCCATAGTGCCCCATAGGGACCCATAGCACCCCGTAGCGCCCCATGGCGCCCCATAGTGCCCCATAGGGACCCATAGGGACCCATAGCGCCCCATAGCCCCCCCATAGGGACCCATAGCACCCCATAGGCCCCCATAGCATCCCATATGACCCCATAGGCCCCCATAGGTACCTGTAGCACCCCATAGCACCCCATAGGGACCCATAGCGCCCCATAGTGCCCCATAGGGACCCATAGCACCCCATACCACCCCATAGGCCCCCATAGGTACCTGTAGCACCCCATAGGGCCCCATAGGGACCCATAGCACCCCATAGGTACCTGTAGCACCCCATAGCGCCCCATAGGGACCCGTAGCACCCCACAGCACCCCATCGAGCCCCATGGGACCCCATAGGGCCCCATAGGGAGCCTCCTAACCCCATCGCACCCCATAGATCGCCAGCTATGGGGCTGCCCCACACTACGGCATCATCACCTTCGGGACGGAGGCGCAGGTCGTGCTCAGCCCCATGGATCCACGGGCGGCCGATGCCGATTGGGTGGGAGAGGTGCTGGAGGGGCTCAGCTTCAAAGGTGGGGCTATGGGGGGCTATGGGGCTATAGGGGCTATGGGGGGCTATGGGGCTATAGGGGGCTATGGGGCTATGGGGGGCTATGGGGCTATGGGGGCTATGGGGCTATGGGGGGCTATGGGGGGCTATGGGGCTATGGGGGGCTATGGGGCTATGGGGGGCTATGGGGGGCTATGGGGGCTATGGGGCTATGGGGGGCTATGGGGCTATGGGGGGCTATGGGGCTATGGGGGGCTATGGGGCTATGGGGGTCTATGGGGCTATAGGGGTCTATGGGGCTATGGGGGGCTATGGGGCTATAGGGGGCTATGGGGCTATAGGGGGGTCTGTGGGGCTATGGGGGGCTATGGGGCTATGGGGGGCTATGGGGCTGTAGGGGTCTATGGGGCTGTGTGGGGGCTATGGGGGTCTATGGGGCTATGGGGGTCTATGGGGCTATGGGGGTCTATGGGACTATGGGGGCCTATGGGGCTATGGGGGTCTGTGGGGCTATGGGGGTCTGTGGGGCTATAGGGGGCTATGGGGCTATGGGGCTATGGGGGGGTATGGGGCTATGGGGGTCATGGGGCTATAGGGGTCTATGGGGCTATGGGGGTCTATGGGGGGACTGTGGGGCTATGGGAGTCTATGGGGCTATGAGTGTCTATGGGGCTATGGGGGGTCTATGGGGCTATGGGGGGGCTATGGGGCTATGGGGCTATGGGGGGGCTATAGGGGTCTATGGGGCTGTGGGGGGCTATGGGGGTCTATGGGGCTATGGGAGTCTATGGGGCTATGGGGGTCTATGGGGGGGTCTATGGGGGATATGGGGGGGGCTATGGGGGGGCTATGGGGCTATAGGGGTCTATGTGGCTATGGAGGTCTATGGGGCTATGGGGCTGTAGGGGTCTATGGGGGGGCTATGGGGCTATGGGAGTCTATGGGGCTGTGGGGGGCTATGGGGCTGTAGGGGTCTATGGGGCTATGGGGGTCTATGGGGCTGTAGGGGTCTATGGGGCTATGGGGGAGCTATGGGGCTATGGGGGGGCTATGGGGTTATAGGGGGCTATGGGGCTATGGGGCTATGGGGGGGCTATGGGGCTATGGGGGGGTATGGGGCTATAGGGGTCCATGGGGCTATGGGGGTCTATGGGGGGACTGTGGGGCTATGGGAGTCTATGGGGCTATGAGGGTCTATGGGGCTATGGGGGGTCTATGGGACCATGTGGGGGCTATGGGGGTCTATGGGGCTATGGGGGGGCTATTGGGCTATGAGGGTCTATAGGGCTATGGGGGGCTATGGGGCTATAGGGGTCTATGGGGGTCTATGGGGCTATAGGGGTCTATGAGGCTATGGGCGTCTATGATGCTATGGGGGGCCTATGGGTCTATGGGGGTCTATCGGGCTATAGGGGTCTATGGGGCTATAGGGGTCCATGGGGCTATGGGGGTCTATGGGGGGACTGTGGGGCTATGGGGGTCTATGGGGCTATGAGGGTCTATGGGGGTCTATGGGGCTATGGGGGGGGGGTATTGGGCTATGGGGGTGTATGGGGCTCCCCATTGGTCTCCATGGTCCACCTTGGTGTCCATGGTCTCTATGGGTCCCTATGGGTCTCAGTGGGTCTCTATGTGTCCCTATGGCTCCCTATGGGTCTCTATGGGTCCCTATGGGTCTCTATGGGTCTCTATGTGTCTCTATGGGTCTCTATGGGTCTCTATGTGTCTCTATGGGTCTCTATGGGTCTCTATGGGGTCTCTATGGGGTCTCTATGGGTCTCTATGGGGTCTCTATGGGTCTCTATGGGTCTGTATGGGGTCCCTATGGGCTCCCTATGTGTCTCTATGTGTCCGCTGGGTCCTAGCGCACGCCCTCCGGCCGGGCACCAACCCCCACGCCGCGCTCCGGGCTCTCTACGAGCTCCTGGTGCGGGAGGAGCGGAGCCAGGAGCTGAGGGGGGAGCGCCCCGCCCCCGTGACCAGCACCACGCGTCACGTGATCGTCATCATGAGCGACGGTGAGGGGGGGGTGGGGGAGGGGACACCCCCAAAAAATGAACGGAAGCGACCCGAAAATGATGCGAAAAATGGCAGGAAACAAGGCAAAAATGAGCCAAAATCGACCCAAAAACTGACCAAAAAATGACCCAAAATCAACCCAAAAACTGACCAAAATCACCCCCAAAACTGACCCAAAATCGCCCCAAAAACTGACCCAAAAGTGACCCAAAACAACCCAAAAACTGACACAAAAAGAACCCAAAGTAAACCCAAAAACTGACCCCAAAATGAACCAAAATCGACCCAAAAACTGACCCAAAACTGACCCAAAATCAACCCAAAAACTCACCAAAATCAACCCAAAATCAACCCCAAAACTGACCAAAAAATGACCCAAAATCGACCCAAAAACTGAACCAAAAATGACCCAAAATCAACCCAAAAACTCGCCAAAATCGACCCAAAATCAACCCCAAAACTGACCCAAAAATGACCCAAAATCGACCCAAAAACTGGCCCAAAAATGAACAAAAGCGCCCCGAAAATGATGTGAAAAATGACACAAAACAACCCAAAAACTCACCAAAATCGCCCCAAAATCAACCCAAAAACTGACCCAAAACAACCGAAAAACTGACCCAAAAATGACACAAAATCAACCCAAAAACTGACCCGAATCAACCCAAAAACTGACCCAAAAAGGACCCAAAATCAACCCCAAAACTCACCAAAATCAACCCCCCAAAGAACACCAAAAACTGACCCCAAATCAACCCCAAAACTGACCCAAAACAACCCAAAAACTGACCCAAAAATGACCCAAAATCAACCCAGAAACTCACCAAAATCACCCCCAAAACAGACCAGAATCAACCCAAAAACTGGCCCAAAAATGACCCAAAATCAACCCAAAAACAGACACCCCCAAAAAATGAACGGAAGCGACCCGGAAATGATGGGAAAAATGGCAGGAAACAAGGCAAAAATGACCCAAAATCGACCCAAAACAACCCAAAAATTGACCCAAAAAGGACCCAAAATCACCCCCAAAACTGACCCAAAATCGCCCCCAAAACTGACCCCAAAATGACCCAAAATCAACCGAAAAACAGACACCCCCAAAAATGAACAAAAGCGCCCCCAAAATGATGTGAAAAATGACACCAAAAAACCTAAAAATGACCCAAAATCAACCCAAAATCAACCAAAAACCTGACCAAAATCAACCCCAAAACTGACCAAAACCTGACCAAAATCACCCCCAAGACTGACCCAAAACAACCCAAAAACTGACCCAAAACTGACCCAAAATCAACCCAAAAACTGGCCCAAAATCAACCCAAAAACTGACCAAAATCACCCCAAAAACAACCCAAAAACTGACCCCAAAATGACCCAAAAACAACCCAAAAACTGGCCCAAAACAACCCAAAAACTGACCCCAAAATGACCAAAAATCAACCCAAAAACTGACCCAAATCACCCCCAAAACTGACCCGAATCAACCCCAAAACAACCCAAAAACTGACCCCAAAATGACCCAAAATCAACCCAAAAAGTGATCAAAATCACCACCAAAACTGACCCGAATCAACCGAAAAACTGGCCCAAAACTGACCCAAAATCAACCCAGAAACTCACCAAAATCACCCCCAAAACTGACCCAAAACAACCCAAAAACTGGCCCAAAAATGACCCCATAGCCCCCTTTGTGCCCCCCATAGCCCCCCATAGACCCCTTTGTGCCCCCCCATATCCCCCCATAGCCCCCTCTGTGCCCCCCATATCCCCCATAGCCCCCCCATATCCCCCTTTGTGCCCCCCATATCCCCCCATAGCCCCCTTTGTGCCCCCCATATCCCCCCATATCCCCCCCATAACTCCCCCCATAGCCCCCTTTGTGCCCCCCATAGACCCCTTTGTGCCCCCATATCCCCCCATAGCCCCCTCTGTGCCCCCCATATCCCCCTTTGTGCCCCCCATATCCCCCTTTGTGCCCCCCATAACTCCCCCCATAGCCCCCTTTGTGCCCCCCATAGACCCCTTTGTGCCCCCATATCCCCCCATAGCCCCCTCTGTGCCCCCCATATCCCCCTTTGTGCCCCCCATATCCCCCTTTGTGCCCCCCATATCCCCCCCATAACTCCCCCCATAGCCCCCTTTGTGCCCCCCATAGACCCCTTTGTGCCCCCATATCCCCCCATAGCCCCCTCTGTGCCCCCCATATCCCCCTTTGTGCCCCCCATATCCCCCTTTGTGCCCCCCATATCCCCCCCATAACTCCCCCCATAGCCCCCTTTGTGCCCCCCAGGCCGGGTGAACATGGGGGGGTCCCCGGTCCCTGTCCTGCACCAGATCCGGGAGCTGTTGAGCATCGGCCGTGACCCCCGCAACGACCGCGAGGACTTCCTGGGTGCGCTATGGGGGCTATGGGGCAGCGGGGGGTAATGGGGGTAATGGGGGTAATGGGGGTAATGGGGGGAATGGGGGGAATGGGGGCTATGGGGCAGCGGGGGGCTATGGGGGGAATGGGGCTATGGGGCAATGGGGGCAATGGGGGGAATGGGGGCTATGGGGGTAATGGGGGGCAATGGGGTCAATGGGGGTCAATGGGTCAATGGGGGGAATGGGGGGAATGGGGGTCAATGGGGTAATGGGGGGAATGGGGGCTATGGGGCAGCGGGGGGCTATGGGGGGAATGGGGCTATGGGGCAATGGGGGCAATGGGGGGAATGGGGGCTATGGGGGTAATGGGGGCTATGGGGGTAATGGGGGCTATGGGGCAATGGGGCTATGGGGGCAATGGGGGAATGGGGGCTATGGGGGAATGGGGCTATGGGGGTAATGGGGTAATGGGGGTAATGGGGGCAATAGGGCAATGGGGGTAATGGGGGCTATGGGGGGAATGGGGGTAATGGGGGCTATGGGGGCAATGGGGCTATGGGGGCAATGGGGGGCAATGGGGGTAATGGGGCTATGGGGGGAATGGGGGCAATGGGGGCTATGGGGGGAATGGGGGCTATGGGGGCAATGGGGGCAATGGGGGCAATGGGGGCTATGGGGGAATGGGGCTATGGGGGTAATGGGGGCTATGGAGTAACGGAGGCAAAGGGGGGAATGGGGGGAATGGGGGCAATGAGGGGAGTGGAGCAGTGGGGGGAATGAGGGGGTAATGGGGCAATGGGGGGAATGGGGGGAATGGGGGGAATGGGGGCTATGGGGCAATGGGGGAATGGGGGGCAATGGGGTAATGGGGGTCAATGGGGGCTATGGGGGGAATGGGGGTAATGGGGGGAATGGGGGGCTATGGGGGGGAATGGGGCTATGGGGGGAATGGGGCTATGGGGGGAATGGGGGCAATGGGGGTAATGGGGGCAATGGGGGCAATGGGGCTATGGGGGGAATGGGGGCAATGGGGCTATGGGGGGAATGGGGGCAATGGGTCTCAATGGAGTAATGGGGGCAAAGGGGTAATAGGGGCAATGGGGGCTATGGGGGCTATGGGGCAATGGGGGCAATGGCGCTATAGGGGTAATGGGGGCAATGGGGGCAACGGGGGCTATGGGGGGAATGGGGGCTCTAGGTGTAATCAATGGTGCTCTATGGGTGTCAATGGTGGCTCCCTGTGGGGCTGACCCCCTCGCCCCCCCCCAGACGTGTTCGTGTTCGGGGTGGGGGCCGTGGTGCACGCGCAGGCGCTGAACGAGCTGGCCTCGCACAAGGCTGGGGAGCAGCACCTCTTCCTGCTGCGGGGGCTCCCCGACCTGCAGGAGGCCTTCCACCGCATGATCGGTACGGCCCGCAGCCCCGAGCACCCCGAAACACCCCAGAAACGGGAGAAAACACCCCAAAAACGGGCAAAAACACCCCAAAAACGGGCAAAAACACCCCAAAAACGGGAGAAAACACCCCAAAAATGGGAGAAAACACCCCAAAAACGGGCAAAAACACCCCAGAAACGGGAGAAAACACCCCCAAAACACCCCCAAAACGGGAGAAAACACCCCAAAAACACCCCAGAAACGGGAGAAAACACCCCAGAAACGGGAGAAAACACCCCAAAAATGGGAGAAAACACCCCAGAAACAGGAGAAAACACCCCAGAAACGGGAGAAAACACCCCAAAACGGGCGAAAACACCCCAGAAACGGGAGAAAACACCCCAGAAACGGGAGAAAACACCCCAAAACACCCCAAAAACGGGCGAAAACACCCCAAAACACCCAAAAAACGGGAGAAAACACCCCAGAAATGGGCAAAAACACCCCAAAAACGGGAGAAAACACCCCAAAACACCCCAGAAACGGGAGAAAACAACCCAAAAACGGGAGAAAACACCCCAGAAACGGGAGAAAACACCCCAAAAACGGGAGAAATCACCCCAAAAACACCCCAGAAACGGGAGAAAACACCCCAAAAATGGGAGAAAACACCCCAGAAACGGGACAAAACACCCCAAAAATGGGAGAAAACACCCCAAAACACCCCAGAAACGGGAGAAAACACCCCCAAAACACCCCAAAAACGGGAGAAAACACCCCAAAACACTCCAAAAACGGGAGAAAACACCCCAGAAGCGGGCGAAAACACCCCAGAAACGGGAAAAAAAACACCCCCAAAAGGGCGAAAACTCCCCAAAACAGGCGAAAACACACCAGAAACGGGCAAAAACACCCCAAAACGGGCGAAAACACCCCAAAAACGGGCGAAAACATCCCAGAAACGGGCGAAAACACCCCAGAAACGGGAGAAAACACCCCAAAACGGGAGAAAACACCCCAAAACGGGAGAAAACACCCCAAAAACGGGAGAGAACACCCCAGAAATGGGCAAAAACACCCCAAAAACGGGAGAAAACACCCCAGAAACGGGAGAAAACACCCCAAAAACGGCCCGGAAATGGGCAAAACCACCCGGAAATGGGCAAAAACACCCCAAAAACGGGCGAAAACACCCCAGAAACGGGCAAAAACAGCCCAAAACACCCCAAAAACGGGAGAAAACACCCCAGAAACGGGAGAAAACACCCCAAAAACGGGAGAAAACACCCAAAAACACCCCAAAAACGGGAGAAAACACCCCAGAAACGGGAAAAAACACCCCAAAAACGGGCGAAAACACCCCAAAACCGGGAGAAAACACCCCAAAACGGGCGAAAACACCCCAAAACACCCCAAAAAACGGGAGAAAACACCCCAAAACACCCCAAAAACGGGAAAAAACACCCCAAAAACGGGAAAAAACACCCCAAAAACGGGCGAAAACACCCCAGAACGGGCAAAAACACCCCAAAACACCCCAAAAACGGGCGAAAACACCCCAAAACACGCCAAAAACGGGCGAAAACACCCCAAAAACGGACGAAAACACCCCAGAAACGGGCGAAAACACCCCAGAAACGGGAGAAAACACCCCAAAAACGGCGAAAACACCCCAAAACACCCCAAAACACCCCAAAAAACGGGCGAAAACACCCCAAAACACCCCAAAAAACGGGAGAAAACACCCCAAAACACCCCAAAAACGGGAAAAAACAACCCAAAACACCCCAAAAAACGGGAGAAAACACCCCAGAAACGGGAGAAAACACCCCAGAAACGGGAAAAAAACACCCAAAAACACCCCAGAAACGGGAGAAAACACCCCAAAACACCCCAGAAACGGGAGAAAACACCCCAGAAACGGGAGAAAACACCCAGAAACACCCCAGAAACAGGAGAAAACACCCCAAAACACCCCAAAAAAGGGAGAAAACACCCCAAAAACGGGAGAAAACACCCCAAAAACGGGCGAAACCACCCCAGAAACGGGCGAAAACACCCCAAAAACGGGACAAAACACCCCAGAAACGGGAAAAAACACCCCAAAACGGGAGAAAACACCCCAAAAACAGGAGAAAACACCCCAAAACGGTCAAAACCACCCCCAAAATGGGCGAAAACACCCCAAAACGGGTGAAAACACCCCAAAAACGGGAAAAACCACGCCAAAACGGCCCGGAAACAGGCTAAAACACCCCAAAACGGGCAAAAACACCCCCAAAACGGGCGAAAACACCCCGAAAACACCCCAGAAACGGGAGAAAACACCCCAAAACCGGGAGAAAACACCCCAGAAACGGGAGAAAACACCCCAAAAACGGGCGAAACCACCCCAGAAACGGGCGAAAACACCCCAAAAACGGGACAAAACACCCCAGAAACGGGAAAAAACACCCCAAAACGGGAGAAAACACCCCAAAAACAGGAGAAAACACCCCAAAACGGTCAAAACCACCCCCAAAATGGGCGAAAACACCCCAAAACGGGTGAAAACACCCCAAAAACGGGAAAAACCACGCCAAAACGGCCCGGAAACAGGCTAAAACACCCCAAAACGGGCAAAAACACCCCCAAAACGGGCAAAAACACCCGGAAACGGCCCGGAAACGGGAAAAAACACCCGGAAACGGGCAAAAACACCCTAGAAACAGGCGAAAACACCCCAAAAATGGGAAAAAAAAAAAAACCAAAAGGGCGAAAACACCCTAAAAAGGGCGAAAACACCCCAGAAACGGGAAAAAACACCCCAAAACGGCCCGGAAACGGGAAAAAACACCCCAAAACGGGCAAAAACACCCCAGAAACGGGAAAAAAACACCCCAGAAACGAGAAAAAACACCCCAAAACGGCCCGGAAATGGGAAAAAACACACCAAAAATGGAAAAAAACACCCCAAAACGGCCCGGAAACGGGAAAAAACACCCCAGAAATGGAAAAAAACACCCCAAAACGGCCCCAGAAACGGGAAAAAACACCCCAGAAACAGGCAAAAAAAAACCAAAACTGTCCGGAAACGGGCAAAAACACCCCAAAACGGGCTAAAACACCCCAGAAATGGGCAAAAACACCCCAGAAATGGGAAAAAACACCCCAAAACGGGCAAAAACACCCCAAAAATGAGCAAAACCACCCCAGAAATGGGAAAAAACACCTCCAAAACGGGCAGAAACACCCCAAAAATGGGCAAAACCACCCCAGAAACGGGCACAAACACCCCCAAATGGGGCGGAAACGCCCCAAAACCGGGAGAAAATCACCCCAAAAATGGGCAAAAAACACCCAAAAAATGGGCAAAAAACCCCCCATAGGGACCCCAAACCCCATAGGGACCCCAAACCCCATAGGGACCCCAACCCCCCCATAGGGACCCCAAACCCCATTGAGGACCCCAAACCCCATTGGGGACCCCAAATCCCCCCATAGGGACCCCACACCCCATAGGGTCCCCAATGTCCCCCCATAAGGACCCCAAACCCCATTGAGGACCCCAATCCCCCCCATAAGGACCCCAATCTCCCCCCATAGGGTCCCCAATGTCCCCCCATAGGGACCCCAAACCCCATTGAGGTCCCCAAACCCCATTGAGGACCCCAAACGCCCCCATAAGGACCCCAAACCCCCCCATAGGGACCCCAATCCCCCCCATAGGGCCCCCCCCACCCCATAGGGTCCCCACTGTGCCCCCCAGATGAAAGCTCCTCCTTGGGGCTCTGCGGCTTCGCCCACGAGTTCCAGAGCGCCGAGGACCGGGAGAAGAACCCGTGGGGGGTGACGGTGATCGTGACGGTGAGTGGGGGGCACCCATTGACACCCATTGAGACCCACTGACCCCATTGACACCCATTGAGACCCATTGAGACCCATTGACACCCATTGACCCCCTTTGACACCCATTGAGACCCATTGACCCCCATTGATCCCCATTGAGACCCATTGAGACCCATTGATCCCCATTGACACCCATTGACTCCCATTGACACCCATTGACACCCATTGAGACCCATTGAGACCCATTGAGACCCATTGAGACCCATTGACCCCATTGAGACCCATTGACTCCTATTGACACCCATTGACTCCCATTGACACCATTGACACCCATTGACCCCATTGAGACCCATTGACACCCATTGACCCCATTGACACCCATTGACACCCATTGATCCCCATTGACACCCATTGACACCCATTGACACCCATTGATCCCCATTGACACCCATTGACACCCATTGACTCCCATTGACACCCATTGATACCCATTAACACCCATTGAGACCCATTGACACCCATTGACACCCATTGATCCCCATTGACACCCATTGACCCCCTTTGATACCCATTGACCCCCATCGACCCCCATTGACCCCATTGACTCCCATCGACCCCCATTGACCCCATTGACTCCCATCGACCCCCATCGACCCCCATTGACACCCATTGACACCCATCGCCCCCCATTGACCCCATCGCCCCCCATCGACCCCCATTGACCCCCACTGCCCCCCATCTCCCCCCAGCGGCCAGGCCAGGGTCAGGAGCGCTGTCGGGGTTCGCTGCTCTCGCCCCGCTTCGTGCTCTCGGCCGCCCATTGCTTCCGTTGGGACGACGACAGCGCCTGGCTCAGCGTGGACGTGGGTACGGGGGGGGGGACGACACCCCGGTTTTGGGGGGAAATCGGGGGGATTTGGGTGTTTGGGGGGTTGGGGTGGTTTTCGGGGGGTTTTGGGTGAGTTTTGGGGGGATTTGGGGTGGGTTTGGGGTGGTTTTTGGGGGGTTTTGGGTGAGTTTTGGGGGGATTTGGGGTGGGTTTGGGGTGGTTTTGGGTGGTTTGGGGGGGTTTTGGGGGGTTTTGGGTGAGTTTTGGGGTGAATTCGGGGGGGTTTGGGGGCGGTTTGGGGGGTTTTGGGTGAGTTTTTGGGGGGATTTGGGGTGTTTGGGGGGGTTGGGTGAGTTTTCGGGGGGTTTTGGGTGAGTTTTGGGGGGATTTGGGGGGTTTTGGTGGGATTTGGGGTGGTTTTCGGGGGGTTTTGGGTGAGTTTTGGGGGATTTGGGGTGTTTTTTGGGGGGTTGGGGTGGTTTTTGGGGGGTTTTGGGTGAGTATTGGGGGGATTTGGGGGGATTTGGGGTGTTTGGAGGGGGTTGGGGTGGTTTTGGGGGGGGTTGGGTGAGTTTTGTGGGGATTTGAGGAGTTTTGGGGTGTTTTGGGGGGCTTGGGGTGGTTTTCGGGGGGTTTGGGGTGAGTTTTGGGGGGATTTGGGGTGTTTGGAGGGGGTTTGGGTGGTTTTCGGGGGGTTTTGGATGAGTTTTGGGGGGATTTGGGGGGTTTGGGGTGGTTTTCGGGGGGTTTTGGGTGAGTTTTGGGGGGATTTGGGGTGGGTTTGGGGTGGTTTTGGGGGGGTTGGCGTGGTTTTCGGGGGGGTTGGGTGAGTTTTGGGGAGATTTGGGGGGTTTGGGGGGGGGGTGGTTTTCGGGGGGTTTTGGGTGAGTTTTGGGGGGATTTGGGGTGGGTTTGGGGTGGTTTTTGGGGGGTTTTGGGTGAGTTTTGGGGGGGTTGGGGTGGTTTTGGGGGGGTTGGGTGAGTTTTGGGGGGATTTGGGGTGTTTGGGGTGGTTTTCGGGGGGGTTTGGGTGAGTTTTGGGTGGATTTGGGGGGTTTTGGGGGGATTTGGAGGGTTTGGGTGAGTTTTGGGGGGATTTGGGGTGATTTGGGTTGGGTTTGGGGTGGTTTTCGGGGGGTTTTGGGAGAGTTTTGGGGGGATTTCTGCTCCATTTCTGCTCCATTTCTGCTCCATTTCTACTCCATTTCTGCTCCATTTCTGCTCCATTTCTGCTCCATTTCTGCTCCATTTTGGGTCCATTTCTGCTCCATTTCTGCTCCATTTCTACTCCATTTCTGCTCCATTTCTGCTCCATTTCTGCTCCATTTCTGCTCCATTTTGGGTCCATTTCTGCTCCATTTCAGCTCCATTTCTACTCCATTTCTGCTCCATTTTGGGTCCATTTCTGCTCCATTTCTGCTCCATTTCTGCTCCATTTCTGCTCCATTTCTGCTCCATTTCTGCTCCATTTCAGCTCCATTTCTGCTCCATTTCTACTCCATTTCTGCTCCATTTCTGCTCCATTTTGGGTCCATTTCTGCTCCATTTCTGCTCCATTTCTACTCCATTTCTGCTCCATTTCTGCTCCATTTCTGCTCCATTTCTGCTCCATTTCTGCTCCATTTTGGGTCCATTTCTGCTCCATTTCAGCTCCATTTCTACTCCATTTCTGCTCCATTTTGGGTCCATTTCTGCTCCATTTCTGCTCCATTTCTGCTCCATTTCTGCTCCATTTCTGCTCCATTTCTGCTCCATTTCTGCTCCATTTCTGCTCCATTTCTGCTCCATTTTGGGTCCATTTCTGCTCCATTTCTGCTCCATTTCTGCTCCATTTCTGCTCCATTTCTGCTCCATTTCTGCTGCTCCATTTCTGCTCCATTTCTGCTCCATTTTGGGTCCATTTCTGCTCCATTTCAGCTCCATTTCTACTCCATTTCTGCTCCATTTTGGGTCCATTTCTGCTCCATTTCTGCTCCATTTCTGCTCCATTTCTGCTCCATTTCTGCTCCATTTCTGCTCCATTTCTGCTCCATTTCTGCTCCATTTCTGCTCCATTTCTGCTCCATTTCTACTCCATTTCTACTCCATTTCTGCTCCATTTCTGCTCCATTTCTGCTCCATTTCTGCTCCATTTCTGCTCCATTTCTGCTCCATTTTGGGTCCATTTCTGCTCCATTTCTGCTCCATTTCTGCTCCATTTCAGCTCCATTTCTACTCCATTTCTGCTCCATTTTGGGTCCATTTCTGCTCCATTTCTGCTCCATTTCTGCTCCATTTCTGCTCCATTTCTGCTCCATTTCTGCTCCATTTCTGCTCCATTTCTGCTCCATTTCTGCTCCATTTCTACTCCATTTCTGCTCCATTTCTGCTCCATTTTGGGTCCATTTCTGCTCCATTTCTGCTCCATTTCTACTCCATTTCTGCTCCATTTCTGCTCCATTTCTGCTCCATTTCTGCTCCATTTCTGCTCCATTTTGGGTCCATTTCTGCTCCATTTCAGCTCCATTTCTACTCCATTTCTGCTCCATTTTGGGTCCATTTCTGCTCCATTTCTGCTCCATTTCTGCTCCATTTCTGCTCCATTTCTGCTCCATTTCTGCTCCATTTCTGCTCCATTTCTACTCCATTTCTGCTCCATTTCAGCTCCATTTCTGCTCCATTTCTGCTCCATTTTTGCTCCATTTCTACTCCATTTCAGCTCCATTTCTGCTCCATTTCTGCTCCATTTCTGCTCCATTTCTGCTCCATTTCTACTCCATTTCTGCTCCATTTCTGCTCCATTTCTACTCCATTTCAGCTCCATTTCTGCTCCATTTCTGCTCCATTTCTACTCCATTTCTACTCCATTTCTACTCCATTTCTGCTCCATTTTTGCTCCATTTCTACTCCATTTCTGCTCCATTTCTGCTCCATTTCAGCTCCATTTCTGCTCCATTTTGGGTCCATTTCTGCTCCATTTCTACTCCATTTTGGGTCCATTTCTGCTCCATTTCTGCTCCATTTTGGGTCCATTTTGGGTCCATTTCTGCTCCATTTTGGGTCCATTTGGGTCCATTTCCGGTCTATTTTGACTCCATTTCTGCTCCATTTTGGGTCCATTTCTGCTCCATTTTGGGTCTATTTCTGCTCAATTTTGGGTCTATTTCTGCTCCATTTTGGGTCTATTTCTGCTCCATTTCTGCTCCATTTCTGCTCTGTTTTGGGTCCATTTTTACTCCATTTCTGCTCCATTTTTGCTCCATTTCTACTCCATTTTTGCTCCATTTCTGCTCAGTTTTCGGTCCATTTTGGCTCCATTTCTGCTCCATTTTGGGTCCATTTCTACTCCATTTCTGCTCCATTTCTGCTCCATTTCGGGTCCATTTTGGGTCCATTTCTGCTCCATTTTGGGTCCATTTTGGGTCCATTTCTACTCCATTTCTGCTCCATTTCTGCTCCATTTCTGCTCCATTTTGGGTCCATTTCTGCTCCATTTCTGCACCATTTCGGCTCCATTTCTGCTCCATTTCTACTCCATTTCTACTCCATTTCTGCTCCATTTCTACTCCATTTCTACTCCATTTCTGCTCCATTTCTGCTCCATTTCTGCTCCATTTCTGCTCCATTTCTACTCCATTTCTACTCCATTTCTGCTCCATTTCTGCTCCATTTCTACTCCATTTCTGCTCCATTTCTGCTCCATTTCTGCTCCATTTCTACTCCATTTCTGCTCCATTTCTACTCCATTTCTGCACCATTTCGGCTCCATTTCTACTCCATTTTGGCTCCATTTCTGCTCCATTTTGGGTCCATTTTGGGTCCATTTTGGGTCCATTTCTGCTCCATTTTGGGTCCGTTTTGGGTCCATTTCTGCTCCATTTTGGGTCCATTTCACCTCCCTCCATTCTCCCCCCTCTCCCTTTCCCCTCCTCCATCCGGGTCCCCTCTGACCACGCCCCCTCCCCCCAGGCTCGGCCCCGCCCCTCGCGGTCTCCTCGCTCCGCCTCCATCCGGGTCCCCTCTGACCCCGCCCCCTCCCCAGGCTCGGCCCCGCCCCTCGCGGTCTCCTCGCTCCGCCTCCATCCGGGTCCCCTCTGACCCCGCCCCCTCCCCAGGCTCGGCCCCGCCCCTCGCGGTCTCCTCGCTCCGCCTCCATCCGGGTCCCCTCTGACCCCGCCCCCTCCCCAGGCTCGGCCCCGCCCCTCGCGGTCTCCTCGCTCCGCCTCCATCCGGGTCCCCTCTGACCCCGCCCCCTCCCCAGGCTCGGCCCCGCCCCTCGCGGTCTCCTCGCTCCGCCTCCATCCGGGTCCCCTCTGACCCCGCCCCCTCCCCAGGCTCGGCCCCGCCCCTCGCGGTCTCCTCGCTCCGCCTCCATCCGGGTCCCCTCTGACCACGCCCCCTCCCCCCAGGCTCGGCCCCGCCCCTCGCGGTCTCCTCGCTCCGCCTCCATCCGGGTCCCCTCTGACCCCGCCCCCTCCCCAGGCTCGGCCCCGCCCCTCGCGGTCTCCTCGCTCCGCCTCCATCCGGGTCCCCTCTGACCCCGCCCCCTCCCCAGGCTCGGCCCCGCCCCTCGCGGTCTCCTCGCTCCGCCTCCATCCGGGTCCCCTCTGACCCCGCCCCCCTCTGACCCCGCCCCCTCCCCAGGCTCGGCCCCGCCCCTCGCGGTCTCCTCGCTCCGCCTCCATCCGGGTCCCCTCTGACCCCGCCCCCTCCCCAGGCTCGGCCCCGCCCCTCGCGGTCTCCTCGCTCCGCCTCCATCCGGGTCCCCCTCTGACCCCGCCCCCTCCCCAGGCTCGGCCCCGCCCCTCGCGGTCTCCTCGCTGCGCCTCCATCCGGGTCCCCTCTGACCCCGCCCCCTCCCCAGGCTCGGCCCCGCCCCTCGCGGTCTCCTCGCTCCGCCTCCATCCGGGTCCCCTCTGACCCCGCCCCCTCCCCAGGCTCGGCCCCGCCCCTCGCGGTCTCCTCGCTCCGCCTCCCTCCGGGTCCCCTCTGACCCCGCCCCCTCCCCAGGCTCGGCCCCGCCCCTCGCGGTCTCCTCGCTCCGCCTCCATCCGGGTCCCCCTCTGACCCCGCCCCCTCCCCAGGCTCGGCCCCGCCCCTCGCGGTCTCCTCGCTCCGCCTCCATCCGGGTCCCCTCTGACCCCGCCCCCCTCTGACCCCGCCCCCTCCCCAGGCTCGGCCCCGCCCCTCGCGGTCTCCTCGCTCCGCCTCCATCCGGGTCCCCTCTGACCCCGCCCCCTCCCCAGGCTCGGCCCCGCCCCTCGCGGTCTCCTCGCTCCGCCTCCATCCGGGTCCCCCTCTGACCCCGCCCCCTCCCCAGGCTCGGCCCCGCCCCTCGCGGTCTCCTAGCTCCGCCTCCATCCGGGTCCCCTCTGACCCCGCCCCCTCCCCAGGCTCGGCCCCGCCCCTCGCGGTCTCCTCGCTCCGCCTCCATCCGGGTCCCCTCTGACCCCGCCCCCTCCCCAGGCTCGGCCCCGCCCCTCGCGGTCTCCTCGCTCCGCCTCCATCCGGGTCCCCCTCTGACCCCGCCCCCTCCCCAGGCTCGGCCCCGCCCCTCGCGGTCTCCTCGCTCCGCCTCCATCCGGGTCCCCTCTGACCCCCCCCCCCCTCTGACCCCGCCCCCTTTCCAGGCTCGGCCCCGCCCCTCGCGGTCTCCTCGCTCCGCCTCCATCCGGGTCCCCTCTGACCCCGCCCCCTCCCCCCCAGCCTCGGCCCCGCCCCTCGCGGTCTCCTCGCTCCGCCTCCATCCGGGTCCCCTCTGACCCCGCCCCCTCCCCAGGCTCGGCCCCGCCCCTCGCGGTCTCCTCGCTCCGCCTCCATCCGGGTTTCTCGCTGACCCCGCCCCCTCCCCAGGCTCGGCCCCGCCCCTCGCGGTCTCCTCGCTCCGCCTCCATCCGGGTCCCCTCTGACCCCGCCCCCTCCCCAGGCTCGGCCCCGCCCCTCGCGGTCTCCTCGCTCCGCCTCCATCCGGGTCCCCTCTGACCCCGCCCCCTCCCCAGGCTCGGCCCCGCCCCTCGCGGTCTCCTCGCTCCGCCTCCATCCGGGTCCCCTCTGACCCCGCCCCCTCCCCAGGCTCGGCCCCGCCCCTCGCGGTCTCCTCGCTCCGCCTCCATCCGGGTTTCCCCTCTGACCCCGCCCCCTCCCCCCCCAGGCTCGGCCCCGCCCCTCGCGGTCTCCTCGCTCCGCCTCCATCCGGGTTTCCCCTCTGACCCCGCCCCCTCCCCAGGCTCGGCCCCGCCCCTCGCGGTCTCCTCGCTCCGCCTCCATCCGGGTCCCCTCTGACCCCGCCCCCTGCCCCTCCCCAGGCTCGGCCCCGCCCCTCGCGGTCTCCTCGCTCCGCCTCCATCCGGGTTTCTCGCTGGGCGCGCGCCGGGCGCGGGGCGTTCCCGAGTTCTACGACTACGACCTGGCCCTGCTGGAGCTGCGCGCGCAGCTGGGGGCGGGGCCGAGGGCGCGGTCAGCGGGGGGCGGGGCCTAAGGGAGGGGCGGGGTCAAAGGGGGGCGGGGTCAAAGGGGGGGGGATGGGGAATATGGGGGGAATATGAGGGGTATGGGGGGTATGGGGGGGTATGGGGGATATGGGGGGGTATGGGGGGCTATGGGGTTTATGGGGGGTATGGGGGATATGGGGGGCATGGGGGATATGGGGGGTATGGGGGATATGGGGGGTATGGGGGGCTATGGGGTTTATGGGGCTTATGGGGCATATGGGGGTATGGGGGATATGGGGAGCAATGGGGGCTATGGGGAACAATGGGGGATATGGGGGTTTGGGGATATGGGGGGATATGGGTGTCTATGGGTGTCTATGGGGGGCTATGGGGGTCTATGGGGTTTATGGGGGGTATGGGGGATATGGGGGGTATGGGGGCTATGGGGAACAATGGGGGATATGGGCATTTGGGGTGATGGAGGGCTATGGGTGTCTATGGGGTTTATGGGGGGGTATGGGGGATATGGGGGGCATGGGGGATATGGGGGGATATGGGGTTTATGGGGGGTATGGGGGGATATGGGTGTCTATGGGGTTTATGGGGGTGTATGGGGGTCTATGGGGTTTATGGGGGTGTATGGGGGTCTATGGGGTTTATGGGTGTATGGGGTTTATGGGGGGTATGGGGAGCAATGGGGGCTATGGGGAACAATGGGGGATATGGGCGTTTGGGGATATGGGGGGATATGGGGGTCTATGGGTTTATGGGGGGCTATGGGGGTCTATGGGGTTTATGGGGGGTATGGGGGATATGGGGGGTATAGGGGCTATGGGGAACAATGGGGGATATGGGGGATATGGGGGGTATGGGTGTCTATGGGTTTATGGGGGGCTATGGGGGTCTATGGGGTTTATGGGGGGGTATGGGGGATATGGGGAGCAATGGGGGATATGGGGGGTATGGGGATATGGGGGGTATGGAGGATATGGGGGTCTATGGGGGTCTCTACCGTCTATGGGTGTCTATGGGGTCTATGGGGGATAGGGGGGATATGGGGAACAATGGGGGCTATGGGGAACAGTGGGGGATATGGGGGTTATGGGGAGTATGAGGGGGGCTCTATGGGGGACTATGGGGATGGGCAGGATCTATGGGGCAGGGGGGATCTCTATGGGGCAGGGGGGATCTCTATGGGGCAGGGTGGTGTCCATGGGGGGGGGGGGGGCAGGGGGGGTGTCTATGGGGCAGGGGGGTCTCCATGGGGCAGAGGGGTTGTCCATGGGGCAGGGGGGTTGTCTATGGGGCAGGGGGGTTGTCTATGGGGCAGGGGGGGTCTCCATGGGGCAGGGGGTTTGTCTATGGGGCAGGGGGTTTGTCAATGGGGCAGGGGGGTCTCCATGGGGCAGGGGGATGTCTATGGGGCAGGGAGGTGTCCATGGGGCAGGGGGTTTGTCTATGGGGCAGGGGGGTCTCCATGGGGCAGGGGGATGTCTATGGGGCAGGGGGGTCTCCATGGGGCAGAGGGGTTGTCCATGGGGCAGGGGGGTGTCTATGGGGCAGGGGGGGTCTCCATGGGTCAGGGGGATGTCTATGGGGCAGTTAGGTGTCCATGGGGCAGGGGGTTTGTCTATGGGGCAGGGGGGGTGTCTCCATGGGGCAGGGGGAAGGAGTCTCCATGGGGCAGGGGGATGTCTATGGGGCAGGGGGGTGCCTATGGGGCAGGGGGGTCTCCATGGGGCAGGGGGGGTCTCCATGGGGCAGAGGGGTTATCCATGGGGCAGGGGGTTTGTCCATGGGGCAAAGGGGTATCCATGGGGCAGGGGGGGTCTCCATGGGGCAGAGGGGTTGTCCATGGGGCAGGGGGTTGTCTATGGGGCAGGGGGGGTCTCCATGGGGCAGAGGGGTTGTCTATGGGGCAGGGGGTTTGTCTATGGGGCAGAGGGAGTCTCTATGGGGCAGGGGGATGTCTATGGGGCAGAGGGGGTGCCATGGGGCAGGGGGATGTCTATGGGGCAGAGGGAGTCTCCATGGGGCAGGGGGGTCTCTATGGGGCAGGGGGGTCTCCATGGGGCAGTTAGGGGCAGGGTGGTGTCCATGGGGCAGGGGGATGTCTATGGGGCAGGGGGGTGTCCATGGGGCAGGGGGGGGCAGGGGGATCTCCATGGGGCAGGGGGCTTGTCTATGGGGCAGAAGGAGTCTCCATGGGGCAGGGGGATGTCTATGGGGCAGGGGGGTGCCTATGGGGCAGGGGGGTCTCCATGGGGCAGGGGGTTTGTCTATGGGGCAGGGGGCTTGTCTATGGGGCAGGGGGTTTGTCTATGGGGCAGGGGGCTTGTCTATGGGGCAGAGGGAGTCTCCATGGGGCAGGGGGTTTGTCTATGGGGCAGAGGGAGTCTCTATGGGGCAGGGGGTTTGTCTATGGGGCAGGGGGATGTCTATGGGGCAGAGGGAGTCTCCATGGGGCAGGGGGGTCTCCATGGGGCAGGGGGATGTCTATGTGGCAGGGAGGTGTCCATGGGGCAGGGGGTTTGTCTATGGGGCAGGGGGCTTGTCTATGGGGCAGAGGGAGTCTCCATGGGGCAGGCTGTGGGGCGCTGACCCCCATGTGTCCCCCCCCCAGCCCCATTTGCCTCCCCTGCACTGAAGGAGCCTCCCGAGCCCTGAGGCTGCCACCGGAGAGCACCAGCTGCGAGGAGCACAGTGAGCCCCACAGCGCCCCATAGCGCCCCATAGCGCCCCATAGAGGCCCCATAGAGCCCCACACGTGGCCCCTCTGCCCCATAGGGCGCCTCCTGCTGCCCCCCAAGGACGTGGAGGCCTTTTTCGTGGCCCAGACCGGCCCCAAGGAGCTGCAGCGACGGCGAGTGCGGATCAAACTGGGGGAGCAGGTGGGACCCATAGAGACCCATAGAGACCCATAGAGACCATAGAGACCCATAGAGACCCATAGAGACCCACAGAGACCCATAGAGACCCATAGAGACCCATAGGGACCCATAGAGCCCATAGAGACCCATAGAGCCCCATAGAGACCCATAGAGACCCATAGAGACCATAGAGACCCATAGAGACCCATAGAGCCCATAGAGACCCATAGAGCCCATAGAGACCCATAGAGACCCATAGACCCCATAGAGCCCCATAGAGACCCATAGAGCCCCATAGAGACCCATAGACCCCATAGAGCCCATAGAGCCCCATAGAGACCCATAGACCCCATAGAGCCCCATAGAGACCCATAGAGACCATAGAGCCCCATAGAGACCCATAGAGACCCATAGAGCCCCATAGAGCCCCATAGAGGCCCATAGAGCCCCATAGAGCCCCATAGAGGCCCATAGAGACCCATAGAGACCATAGAGCCCCAGTGAGCCCCATAGAGCCCCATAGAGCCCCAGTGAGCCCCATAGAGGCCCAGAGACCCCATAGAGACCATAGAGGACCATAGTGACCCATTACTCCCACTCCTCCCTATTGACCCCCATTGACCCCCATTAATCCCCATTGGCCCCCATTGATCCCCATTGACCCCATTGATCCCATTGATCCCCATTGCCCCCATTCCCCCCATTGCCCCTCATTGCCCCCCCTTGATCCCCATTTATTCTCATTGACACCATTGATCCCCATTGACCCCCATTGCCCCCCATTGCCCCCCATTGACCCCCATTGACTCCCATTGCCCCCCATTGACCCCCATTGCCCCCCATTGCCCCCCATTGCCCCCCATTGACCCCCATTGCCCCCCATTGCCCCCCATTGACCCCCATTGACCCCCATTGCTCCCCATTGACCCCCATTGACCCCCATTGCTCCCCATTGACCCCCATTGACCCCCATTGACCCCCATTGCCCCCCATTGCCCCCCATTGACCCCATTGACCCCATTGATCCCCATTGCCTCCCATTGCCCCCCATTAACCCCCATTGACCCCCATTGCCCCCCATTGCCCCCCCTTGCCCCCCCTTGCCCCCCATTGACCCCCATTGGTCCCCATTGATCCGCATTGATCCCCATTGACCCCCATTGCCCCCATTGCCCCCCATTGACCCCCATTGCCCCCCATTGCCCCCCATTGCCCCCATTGCCCCCCATTGATCCCATTGCCCCCCATTGACCCCCATTGCCCCCCATTGACCCCATTGCACCCCATTGGTCCCCATTGATCCGCATTGATCCCCATTGACCCCCATTGCCCCCATTGACCCCCCCATTGACCCCCATTGACCCCCATTGCCCCCCATTGCCCCCCATTGCCCCCCATTGCCCCCCATTGACCCCCATTGACCCCCATTGCCCCCCATTGCCCCCCATTGCCCCCCATTGACCCCCATTGCCCCCATTGCCCCCCATTGACCCCCCATTGACCCCCATTGACCCCCATTGCATTGACCCCCATGACCCCCATTGCCCCCCATTGCCCTCCATTGCCCCCCATTGCCCCCCATTGCCCCCCATTGACCCCCAATGACCCCCATTGACCCCCATTGCTCCCCATTGACCCCATTGCCCCCCATTGACCCCCATTGCCCCCCATTGACCCCATTGACCCCCATTGACCCCCATTGACCCCCATTGCCCCCCATTGCCCCCCATTGACCCCCATTGCCCCCCATTGACCCCCATTGACCCCCATTGACCCCCATTGACCCCCATTGACCCCCATTGACCCCCCATTGACCCCCATTGACCCCCATTGACCCCCATTGCCCCCCATTGACCCCCATTGACCCCCATTGACCCCCATTGACCCCCCATTGCCCCCCATTGCCCCCCATTGACCCCCATTGACCCCCATTGCCCCCCATTGCCCCCCATTGCCCCCCATTGCCCCCCATTGCCCCCCATTGCCCCCCATTGACCCCCATTGCCCCCCATTGCCCCCCATTGACCCCCATTGACCCCCATTGACCCCCATTGCCCCCCATTGACCCCCATTGACCCCCATTGACCCCCATTGCCTCCCATTGCCCCCATTGCCTCCCATTGCCCCCCATTGACCCCCATTGCCCCCCATTGACCCCCATTGACCCCCATTGCCCCCCATTGACCCCCATTGACCCCCATTGCCCCCCATTGCCCCCCATTGCCCCCCATTTCCCCCATTGACCCCCATTGCCCCCCATTGACCCCCATTGCCCCCCATTGACCCCCATTGACCCCCATTGCCCCCCAGCGCCCTCGCTGCGAGGCCGATGCTCTCCGGGCCCCCCTCTACGTGAACGCCTCGGCTCTCGATGACGTCATCACCCCCCGCTTCCTGTGCACGGGGGGCAGCGACCCCGAGGTGGACCCCAACGTGTGCCGGGGTCAGTATAGACCAGTATGGACCAGTATAGACCAGTATGGACCAGTATAGACCAGTATGGACCAGTATAGACCAGTATGGACCAGTATGGACCAGTATAGACCAGTATAGACCAGTATGGACCAGTATGGACCAGTATAGACCAGTATGGACCAGTATAGACCAGTATGGACCACTAGGGACCAGTATGGACCAGTATAGACCAGTATAGACCAGTATGGACCAGTATGGACCAGTATGGACCAGTATAGACCACTATAGACCAGTATGGACCAGTATAGACCAGTATAGACCAGTATAGACCAGTATGGACCAGTATAGACCAGTATAGACCAGTATGGACCAGTATGGACCAGTATAGACCAGTATGGACCAGTATGGACCAGTATAGACCAGTATGGACCAGTATGGAGCAGTACGAAGCAGTATAGACCAGTATGGACCACTAGGGACCAGTATGGACCACTAGGGACCAGTATGGACCAGTATGGACCAGTATAGACCAGTATAGACCAGTATGGACCAGTATGGACCAGTATGGACCAGTGTAGACCAGTATAGACCAGTATGGACCAGTATAGACCAGTATAGACCAGTATAGACCAGTATGGACCAGTATGGACCAGTATAGACCAGTATAGACCAGTATGGACCAGTATAGACCAGTATGGAGCAGTATGGACCAGTATGGACCAGTATAAACCAGTATAGACCAGTATGGACCAGTATAGATCAGTATAGACCAGTATGGACCAGTATGGACCAGTATAGACCAGTATAGACCAGTATGGACCAGTATGGACCAGTATAGACCAGTATGGACCAGTATAGACCTGTATGGACCAGTATGGAGCAGTACGAAGCAGTATAGACCAGTATGGACCACTAGGGACCAGTATGGACCAGTATGGACCAGTATGGAGCAGTACGGAGCAGTATAGACCAGTATGGAGCAATACCAGTATAGACCAGTATTGACCAGTGTGGACCAGTATGGAGCAGTATGGACCAGTATAGATCAGTATGGAGCAGTATAGACCAGAAGGGACCAGTATAGACCAGTAGGGGCCGGTATGGAGCAGTACGGAGCAGTATAGACCAGTATGGAGCAATACCAGTATAGACCAGTATTGACCAGTATGGACCAGTATGGACCAGTATGGAGCAGTACAAAGCAGTATAGGCCAGTATGGAGCAGTAGGGACCAGTACCAGTATAGACCAGTAAAGACCAGTATGGACCAGTATGGAGCAGTAGGGACCAGTATAGACCAGTATAGAGCAGTAACAGTATAGACCAGTATGGAGCAGTATAGACCAGTACGGACCAGTATAAACTAGTATAGACCAGTATGGAGCAGTAGGGACCAGTACCAGTATAGACCAGTAAAGACCCGTATGGACCAGTAATGGACCAGTATGGAGCAGTAGGGACCAATAATGGGCCAGTATGGAGCAGTAGGGACCAGTATGGAGCAATACCAGTATAGACCAGTATAGACCAGTATAGACCAGTATGGACCAGTACCGACCCCCCCAGTCCATCCCAGTGCCTCTGCCCCCTACAGGTGACTCCGGGGGTCCCCTCATTGTCAGCAGGGGGAAGCGCTACTTCCAGGTGAACTGGGGATACTGGGATGGACTGGGATGGACTGGGATGCACTGGGATGGACTGGGATGCACTGGGATGGACTGGGATGGACTGGGATGCACTGGGATGGACTGGGATGGACTGGGGGGGTCATTGGGGATGCACTGGGATGGACTGGGATGCATTGGGATGCACTGGGATGCATGGGGGGGGTCATTGGGGTTGCACTGGGATGGACTGGGATGCACTGGGATGTATTGGGGATGCACTGGGATGGACTGGGATGCACTGGGATGCACTGGGATGCATGGGGGGGTCATTGGGGATGCATTGGGATGGACTGGGATGCACTGGGATGCACTGGGATGCATGGGGGGTCATTGGGGATACACTGGGATGGACTGGGATGCACTGGGATGCATTGGGATACACTGGGGAGGATCATTGGGGTTGCACTGGGATGGACTGGGATGCACTGGGATGCACTGGGATGCATGGGGGGGGTCATTGGGGATGCACTGGGATGGACTGGGATGCACTGGGATGGACTGGGATGCACTGGGATGCATGGGGGGGGTCATAGGGGTTGCACTGGGATGGACTGGGATGCATTGGGGATGTACTGGGATGCATTGGGATGGACTGGGATGCACTGGGATGGACTGGGATGCATTGGGATGGACTGGGGATACACTGGGGGGGTCATTGGGGATGCACTGGAATGGACTGGGATGCACTGGGATGCATTGGGGATGCACTGGGATGGACTGGGATGCATTGGGATGCATTGGGGGTGCACTGGGATGGACTGGGATGCATTGGGATGCATTGGGGGTGCACTGGGATGGACTGGGATGCATTGGGATGCACTGGGATGCACTGGGGATACACTGGGGGGTCATTGGGGATGCACTGGGATGGACTGGGATGCATTGGGATGGACTGGGATGCACTGGGATGGACTGGGATGGACTGGGATGCATTGGGATGCACTGGGGGGGTCATTGGGGATGCACTGGGATGGACTGGGATGCCCCAGGCCCCATAGAGACCCTGTTGACCCCCTGTGCCCCATAGGGCCCCATAGAGACCCCATTGCCCCCCTGTGCCCCATAAGACCCCCCTGTGCCCCCATTGACCCCCCTGTGCCCCATAGGGCCCCACAGAGACCCCATCGAACCCCTGTGCCCCATAGGGCCCCATAGAGACCCCATCCACCCCCTGTTCCCCATAGTGCCCCATAGGACCCCCATTGCCCCCGTGTGCCCCATAGAGACCCCATTGACCCCCTGTGCCCCATAGGGCCCCGACTGAATCCCTGGGCCCCATAGAGCCCCATAGAGAACCTATTGACCCCCTTTGCCCCATATGGCCCCACTGATCCCCTGTGCCCCATAGGGCCCCATAGAGACCCCATCGACCCCCTGTGCCCCATAGGGCCCCATAGAGACCCCATCGACCCCCTGTTCCCCATAGGGCCCCCATTGACCCCATGTGCCCCATAGGGACCCATAAAGACCCCACTGACACCCTGTGCCCCATAGGGCCCCATAGAGACCTCATCTACCCCCTGTTCCCCATAGTGCCCCATAGGATCCCCATTGCCCCCATGTGCCCCATAGGGCCCGATAGATACCCCATCGACCCCCTGTTCCCCATAGGGCCCGACTGATCCCCTGTGCCCCATAGGGCCCCATAGAGACCCCATCGACACCCTGTTCCCCATAGGGCCCTCACTGACCCCCTGGGCCCCATTGAGCCCCATAGAGACCCCATTGATCCCCTGTGCCCCATAGGGCCCCATAGAGACCCCATCGACCCCCTGTTCCCCATAGGGCCCCCATTGACCCCCTGTGCCCCATAGGGCCCCACTGATCCCCTGTGCCCCATAGGGCCCCATAGAGACCCCATTGATCCCCTGTGCCCCATAGGGCCCCATAGAGACCCCATCGACCCCCTGTTCCCCATAGGGCCCCCATTGACCCCCTGGGCCCCATAGAGCCCCATAGAGCCCCCATTGCCCCCCCTGTGCCCCATAGGCCTCCATTGACCCCCCTGTGCCCCATAGAGCCCCATAGGCCCCCATTGCCCCCCCTGTGCCCCATAGGCCCCCATTGCCCCCCCTGTGCCCCATAGGCCCCCATTGCCCCCCCTGTGCCCCATAGGCCCCCATTGCCCCCCCTGTGCCCCATAGGCCTCCATTGACCCCCCTGTGCCCCATAGGCCTCCATTGACCCCCCCAGTGCCCCATAGCACCCCATAGGGCCCCCCACTGACCCCCCCCCCGGCGCCCCCTGCAGGTGGGGGTGATCAGTTGGGGGGTGCTGGATTCCTGCCGCCATTCCCGGCCCCCTTCCTACGCCCGCGATTTCCACGTCAACGTCTTCGAGGCCCTGCCCTGGCTCCGGGAGGAGCTCCGCGACGAGGACCTGGGCTTCATCCCGTGACGCGCTAACGACATGCTAACGACATGCTAACGACATGCTAATGAGACGCTAGTTACACGCTAACGAGCCGCTAATGCGATACCGATGGGTGTCATTGCGTGTCATTGTCATTGAGTGTCGTTGGGTGTCGTTGGGTGTCGTTGGGTGTCTTTGAGTGTCGTTGGGTGTCGTTGGGTGTCATTGAGTGTCATTGGGTGTCACTGGGTGCTAACGACATGCTAATGAGACGCTAGTTACACGCTAACGAGCCGCTAATGCGATACCGATGGGTGTCATTGCGTGTCATTGTCGTTGAGTGTCGTTGGGTGTCGTTGGGTGTCTTTGAGTGTCGTTGGGTGTCGTTGGGTGTCGTTGGGTGTCATTGATTGTCATTGGGTGTCACTGGGTGCTAACGACATGCTAATGAGACGCTAGTTACACGCTAATGAGCCGCTAATGCGATACCGATGGGTGTCATTGCGTGTCATTGTCATTGAGTGTCGTTGAGTGTCGTTGGGTGTCGTTGGGTGTCATTGAGTGTCGTTGGGTGTCGTTGGGTGTCATTGAGTGTCATTGAGTGTCACTGGGTGCCATTGATTGTCATTGGGTGTCACTGGGTGCTAACGACATGCTAATGAGACGCTAGTTACACGCTAATGAGCCGCTAATGCGATACCGATGGGTGTCATTGCGTGTCATTGTCATTGAGTGTCGTTGAGTGTCGTTGGGTGTCGTTGGGTGTCATTGAGTGTCATTGGGTGTCATTGGGTGTCATTGTCATTGGGTGTCATTGGGTGTCATTGAGTGTCATTGAGTGTCATTGGGTGTCATTGGGTGTCATTGAGTGTCATTGAGTGTCATTGGGTGTCATTGAGTGTCATTGAGTGTCACTGGGTGCCATTGATTGTCATTGGGTGTCACTGGGTGCTAACGACATGCTAATGAGACGCTAGTTACACGCTAACGAGTCACTAATGCGATACCGATGGGTGTCAATGCGTGTCATTGTCATTGAGTGTCGTTGGGTGTCATTGGGTGTCATTGGGTGTCATTGAGTGTCATTGAGTGTCATTGGGTGTCATTGATTGTCATTGGGTGTCACTGGGTGCTAACGACATGCTAATGAGACGCTAGTTACACGCTAACGAGCCGCTAATGCGATACCGATGGGTGTCATTGCGTGTCATTGTCGTTGAGTGTCGTTGAGTGTCGTTGGGTGTCGTTGGGTGTCATTGAGTGTCATTGAGTGTCATTGGGTGCCATTGAGTGTCATTGGGTGTCATTGAGTGTCATTGAGTGTCATTGAGTGTCATTGGGTGTCATTGAGTGTCGTTGGGTGTCATTGAGTGTCATTGGGTGTCATTGCGTGCCATTGAGTGTCATTGGGTGTCATTGGGTGTCATTGGGTGTCATTGAGTGTCGTTGGGTGTCATTGGGTGTCATTGGGTGTCATTGGGTGTCATTGGGTGTCATTGAGTATCATTGAGTGTCATTGGGTGTCATTGAGTGTCATTGGGTGTCGTTGGGTGCCATTGAGTGTCATTGGGTGTCATTGGGTGTCATTGAGTGTCATTGGGTGCCATTGAGTGTCATTGGGTGTCATTGAGTGTCATTGGGTGTCGTTGGGTGCCATTGGGTGCCATTGAGTGTCATTGAGTATCATTGAGTGTCATTGGGTGTCATTGAGTGTCTGAGTGTCATTGGGTATCATTGGGTGTCATTGATTGTCATTGGGTGTCATTGGGTGTCATTGGGTGCCATTGAGTGTCATTGAGTGTCATTGGGTGTCATTGGGTGTCATTGAGTGTCATTGGGTGTCATTGAGTGTCATTGAGTGTCGTTGGGTGTCATTGGGTGCCATTGAGTATCATTGGGTGCCATTGAGTGTCATTGAGTGTCATTGGGTGTCATTGAGTGTCATTGAGTGTCATTGGGTGTCATTGAGTGTCATTGGGTGTCATTGATTGTCATTGGGTGTCGTTGGGTGCCATTGAGTGTCATTGGGTGTCATTGGGTGTCATTGTCATTGGGTGTCATTGATTGTCATTGCGTGTCATTGGGTGTCATTGAGTGTCGTTGGGTGTCATTGAGTGTCATTGGGTGTCATTGGGTGTCATTGAGTGTCGTTGGGTGTCATTGGGTGCCATTGAGTGTCATTGGGTGTCATTGGGTGTCATTGAGTGTCATTGCGTGTCATTGGGTGCCATTGGGTGTCATTGGGTGTCATTGAGTGTCGTTGGGTGTCATTGGGTGCCATTGAGTATCATTGAGTGTCATTGGGTGTCATTGGGTGTCATTGAGTGTCATTGGTTGCCATTGAGTGTCATTGGGTGTCATTGAGTGTCATTGGGTGTCATTGGGTGTCATTGAGTGTCATTGGGTGTCATTGAGTGTCATTGGGTGTCATTGGGTGTCATTGGGTGTCATTGAGTGTCATTGGGTGTCATTGGGTGTCATTGGGTGTCATTGAGTGTCATTGGGTGTCATTGGGTGTCATTGAGTGTCATTGGGTGTCATTGGGTGCCATTGAGTGTCATTGAGTGTCATTGGGTGTCATTGGGTGTCATTGAGTGTCATTGGGTGTCATTGGGTGTCATTGAGTGTCATTGGGTGTCATTGGGTGTCATTGGGAGTCATTGAGTGTCATTGGGTGCCATTGAGTGTCATTGGGTGTCATTGGGTGTCATTGAGTGTCGTTGGTTGTCATTGGGTGTCATTGAGTGTCATTGGGTGTCACTGAGTGTCATTGAGTGTCATTGGGTGTCATTGGGTGCCATTGAGTGTCATTGCGTGTAATTGGGTGCCATTGAGTGTCATTGCGTGTAATTGAGTATCATTGAGTATCATTGGGTGTCATTGGGTGTCATTGGGTGTCATTGAGTGTCATTGGGTGCTATTGAGTATCATTGAGTGTCATTGGGTGTCATTGGGTGTCATTGAGTGTCATTGGGTGCCATTGAGTGTCATTGGGTGTCATTGGGTGTCATTGGGTGCCATTGAGTGTCATTGGGTCTCGTTGGGTGTCATTGGGTGTCATTGAGTGTCCTTGCGTGTCGTTGCGTGTCATTGGGTGTCATTGAGTGTCATTGGGTGTCATTGGGTGTCATTGGGTGTCATTGGGTGTCGTTGGGTGTCATTGGGTGTCACTGCGTGTCCCATGTCCCATACCCCATATCCCACACCCCATACCCCATATCCCATACCCCATATCCCATACCCCATACCTCATACCCTATACCCCACACCCCATATCCCACACCCCATATCCCATACCCTGTATCCCATACCCCATACCCCATATCCCATACCCCATATCCCATACCCCACACCCCATACCCCATACCCCATACCCTATACCCCACATCCCATACCCGATACCCCATACCCCATATCCCATACCCCATACCCCATACCCCATACCCCATACTCCATATCCCATACCCCCCCCATATCCCACACCCCATATCCCATACCACATAAATCCCATATCCCACACCCCATATCCCATACCACATATATCCCACACCCCATACCCCATATCCCATACCCCACACCCCATACCCCATACCCCATACCCCACACCCCACCATGGAACCATGGATAATGACCAGCAATAGCAATATAGCCCTGAACTGGTCCCAGTATCCACCCTAAACTGGTCCCAGTCATCCCAAGGGAGCTCCCATCGTGGTGCCCCCTATATCAGTGTTGGTCTTCCTTGGCCCCCATCCCATGGGGTCGCATCAGGGCCCTGCTTTCCCCATAGACTCCTGATGTGGGGTTGACCTGGAAGCCCCCTTCAATCCATCCCATCCCAACCCCATTGACCGCCCCCCCCTCCCCACCCCATCTCCATCTCCATGGGGGACATTCCCATCTCCTGGCATTGGTGGGGGGGACACACGACACAAGAGGAGACCCCAAGGAGCAGTGGGGTGGTTGCATCCATGGCTTTAAATAAGGTCCTTAAGTTAAGAGAGCAAGGAACGCGCCGGAGACACGCAAAGTCCTTCGCGCTGCCTCCATCCGTGGGGCGCGTGGGGGGCGCCCATTGGAGGACATGGCCTGAGGTGGGTCCATGGCCAATGGGGTGGGTCCATGGGCAATGGAACCCATTGGAGATGCTGGAGGTCATTGGAGGACATCGAGGTTCATGGTCATTGGAGGACGTCGAGGTTCATGGTCATTGGAGGACATCAAGTCCATGGTCATTGGAGGACATCGAGGTCCATGGTCATTGGAGGACATCGAGGTCCATCGTCATTGGAGGACATTAAGGTCCATGGTCATTGGAGGACATCGAGGTCCATGGTCATTGGAGGACGTTGAGGTCCATGGTCATTGGAGGACATCGAGGTCCATGGTCATTGGAGGACATCGAGGTCCATGGTCATTGGAGGACATTGAGGTCCATGGTCATTGGAGGACATCGAAGTCCATGGTCATTGGAGGACATCAAGTCTATGGTCATTGGAGGTCATCGAGGTTCATGGTCATTGGAGGACATTGAGGTCCATGGTCATTGGAGGACATCAAGGTTCATGGTCATTGGAGGACATCAAGGTTCATGGTCATTGGAGGACATCGAAGTCCATGGTCATTGGAGGACATTGAAGTCCATGGTCATTGGAGGACGTCGAGGTTCATGGTCATTGGAGGACATCGAGGTCCATGGTCATTGGAGTACATCAAGTCCATGGTCATTGGAGGACATCGGGGTCCATGGTCATTGGAGGACATCGGGGTTCATGGTCATTGGAGGACATCGAGGTCCATGGTCATTGGAGGACATTGAGGTCCATGGTCTTTGGAGGACGTCGAGGTCCATGGTCATTGGAGAACATCGAGGTCCATGGTCATTGGAGGACATCGAGGTCCATGGTCATTGGAGAACATTGAGGTCCATGGTCATTGGAGACCATCGAGGTCCACAGTCATTTGAGGACATCAAGTCCATGGTCATTGGAGGACATCGAGGTCCATGGTCATTGGAGGACATTGAAGTCCATGGTCATTGGAGGACATCGAGGTCCATCGTCATTGGAGGACATCGGGGTTCATGGTCGTTGGAGGACATCGAGGTCCATGGTCATTGGAGGACGTTGAGGTCCATGGTCATTGGAGGACATCGAGGTTCATGGTCATTGGAGGACATTGAGGTCCATGGTCATTGGAGAACATCGAGGTCCATGGTCATTGGAGGACATCGAGGTCCATGGTCATTGGAGGACATCAAGGTCCATGGTCATTGGAGGACATTGAAGTCCATGGTCATTGGAGGACATCGAGGTCCATGGTCATTGGAGGACATCGGGGTTCACAGTCATTGGAAGACATCGGGGTTCATGGTCATTGGAGGACATCGAGGTCCATGGTCATTGGAGGACATCGAGGTCCATGGTCATTGGAGGACATTGAGGTCCATGGTCATTGGAGGACATCGAGGTCCACGGTCATTGGAGGACATCAAGTCTGGTCATTGGAGGACATCGAGGTTCATGGTTATTGAAGGACATCGAGGTCCATGGTCATTGGAGGACATCGAGGTCCATGGTCATTGGAGGACATCGAGGTCCACGGTCATTGGAGGACATCGGGGTTCATGGTTATTGAAGGACATCGAGGTCCATGGTCATTTGAGGACTTCAAGTCCATGGTCATTGGAGGACATCGAGGTCCATGGTCATTGGAGGACATTGAGGTCCATGGTCATTGGAGGACATCGAGGTTCACAGTCATTGGAAGACATCAGGGTTCATGGTTGTTGGAGGACATCGAGGTCCATGGTCATTGGGTGGGTCCATGGTCAATGGAACCCATTGGAGGTGCTGGACATCATTGGAGGACATCAAGGTCCATGGTCATTGGAGGACATTGGGGTTGGTCCGTGGTCATTGGGGTTGGTCCATGGTCTTTGGGGAGCGTCCCTGGTCATTGGGGTGGGTCCATGGTCATTGGGGTTGGTCCATGGTCATGGGGTGGGTCCATGGCCATGGGGTGGGTCCATGGCCATGGGGTGGGTCCATGGTCATTGGGGTTGGTCCATGGTCATTGGGGTTGGTCCATGGCCATGGGATGGGTCCATGGTCATTGGGGTTGGTCCATGGCCATGGGGTGGGTCCATGGCCATGGGGTGGGTCCATGGTCATTGGGATTGGTCCATGGCTATGGGGTGGGTCCCTGGTCATTGGGTTGGGTCCATGGTCATTGGGGTGGGTCCATGGTCATTGGTGTGGGTCCATGGTCATTGGGGTGGGTCCATGGTCATTGGGTTGGGTCCATGGTCATTGGGGTGGGTCCATGGTCATTGGGGTTGGTCCATGGTCATGAGGTGGGTCCATGGTCATTGGGGTGGGTCCATGGTCATTGGGTTGGGTCCATGGCCATGGGGTGGGTCCATGGTCATGGGGTGGGTCCATGGTCATTGGGTTGGGTCCATGGCCATGGGGTGGGTCCATAGTCATTGGGGTTGGTCCATGGTCATGGGGTGGGTCCATGGTCATTGGGGTTGGTCCATGGTCTTTTGGGAGCATCCATGGTCATTGGGATGGCTCCATAGTTACGGGGTGGGTCCATGGCTATGGGGAGGGTCCATGGCCATGGGGTGGCCCCACTGTCCCTGATGTCCATGCCCATGTCCCATATGGATGCTCTCAGCCCCGGAAGCAGGCCGGCCCCACCTCAAGGCCTCCTCGTGCCATGCCCAGGACATCCCGGAGTGGGAGATGCTCCGGGTGTGGGGTGAGAACCTCCAGCACCGAGCGCCCGGAGCCCGACTGCGCCTATGGAGGGGGAGAAGGGTCAGCAATGGGGGGCAATGGGGTAATGGGGGCAATGGGGTAATGAAGGCAATGGGGACAATGGGGGCAATGGGGGACAACGGGGTCTCCAAGAGCACCCGGATCACCAGGATCCCCCCCCACACATCCCCTTTCCTTGACTCACCCCACATCCATCCATCAGCACCTTGACGTAGGGGCCGGTACCCGCCAGCTCCTCCTCATTGGCGGCCAGGAAGCGGATCCCATTCCCGGTGTTGATCCCGGTGTTGATCCCGGTGTTCCCGGTGTTGATCCCGGTGTTCCCGGTACACCGCACGGTGACGTTCTGCTGCGCGCCGACGCTGAGGAGCCTTAGGAAGGTCACCTGCACCACGCCGAGCCCGTGCCCATCCGCATCCACGTAGGAGAGCTATGGGATCATGGGATGAGGATGTGGGGCCCAAGAACCCCCCCGCCCTCCCAACCCCATTCCCAATGGGGCGCCATCCTCACCCTCGAGCCTTCGTCGCCTCGACGCTGACCTTGGGTCGCCTCTTCCTTGGGCAACACCTGGAAGTGGGGATGTTGGGATGAGGCCTTGGGGGGGGGTGGGGGGTGGGGAAGGGGGGGGCGGGGCCTCCACCCCATTGGCTGCCTCCCGGCCCCATAACTCACCGTCTGCCTTGGGAAGACGCAGGTCTCGGCTCCCATGCGGAAGCGGCATCGGGCCCGGAAGGCGTCGCGGGAGCATCCTTGGTTGGGATCCACCCAATAGAGGCCTGGAGGGAGGGGAGGAGGAGGAAGGTCAATGGTACCCATGGGGAAGGGCAATGGCACCCATGGGGAAGGTCAATGGCACCCATGAGGAAGAGTAATGGCACCCATGAGGAAGACCAATGGCACCAACGAGGAAGGTCAATGGCACCCATGAGGAAGTTCAACGCCACCCATGAGGAAAGTCAACGCCACCCATGAGGATGGTCAATGGCACCCATGAGGAAGGGCAATGGCACCCATGGGGATGGTCAACGTCACCCATGAGGAAGGCCAATGGCACCCATGAGGAAGGTCAATGGCACCCATGGGGAAGGGCAATGGCACCCATGGGGATGGTCAATGGCACCCATGAGGAAGGGCAATGGCACCCATGAGGAAGACCAACGCCACCCATGAGGAAGGTCAATGGCACCCATGGGGAAGGGCAATGGCACCCATGAGGAAGGGCAATGGAACCCATGAGGAAGAGTAATGGCACCCATGAGGAAGGTCAACGGCACCCATGAGGAAGGTCAATGGCACCCATGAGGAAGGCCAATGCCACCCATGAGGAAGGTCAACGGCACCCATGAGGAAGGCCAATGCCACCCATGAGGAAGGTCAACGCCACCCATGAGGAAGGGCAATGGCACCCATGGGGAAGGGCAATGGCACCCATGAGGAAGGTCAATGGCACCCATGGGGATGGTCAATGGCACCCATGAGGAAGGTCAATGGCACCCATGGGGAAGGGCAATGGCACCCACGAGGAAGGTCAATGGCACCCATGAGGAAGGCCAACGGCACCCATGAGGAAGACCAATGGCACCCATGAGGAAGGCCAATGGCACCCATGAGGAAGGCCAACGCCACCCATGGGGAAGGCCAATGGCACCCGTGAGGAAGGTCAATGGCACCCATGAGGAAGACCAACGCCACCCATGAGGAAGACCAACGCCACCCATGAGGAAGACCAACGCCACCCATGAGGAAGGCCAATGGCACCCATGGGGAAGGTCAATGGCACCCATGAGGAAGGCCAACGCCACCCATGAGGAAGGGCAATGGCACCCGTGGGGAAGGGCAATGGCACCCATGAGGAAAGTCAACGCCACCCATGAGGATGGTCAATGGCACCCATGGGGAAGGTCAATGGCACCCATGAGGAAGACCAACGCCACCCATGAGGGTGGTCAATGGCACCCATGGGGATGGTCAATGGCACCCATGAGGAAGGCCAACGCCACCCACGAGGAAGAGTAATGGCACCCATGAGGAAGGGCAATGGCACCCATGAGGAAGGCCAATGGCACCCATGAGGAAGGGAATGCCACCCATGAGGAAGGTCAACGCCACCCATGGGGATGGTCAACACCACCCATGAGGAAGGTCAATGGCACCCATGGGGAAGGGCAATGGCACCCATGGGGATGGTCAATGGCACCCATGAGGAAGACCAACGCCACCCATGAGGAAGGTCAATGGCACCCATGAGGAAGGTCAACGCCACCCATGAGGAAGGTCAATGGCACCCATGAGGAAGACCAATGGCACCCACGAGGAAGGCCAATGGCACCCATGAGGAAGGTCAATGGCACCCATGGGGAAGACCAACGCCACCCATGAGGAAGGCCAATGGCACCCATGAGGAAGGGAACGCCACCCATGAGGAAGGTCAATGGCACCCATGAGGAAGGTCAATGGCACCCATGAGGAAGGCCAATGGCACCCACGAGGAAGGCCAATGGCACCCATGAGGAAGGTCAACGCCACCCATGGGGAAGACCAACGCCACCCATGAGGAAGGCCAATGGCACCCATGAGGAAGACCAATGGCACCCATGAGGAAGGCCAACGCCACCCATGGGGATGGTCAATGGCACCCATGGGGAAGACCAATGGCACCCATGAGGAAGACCAATGCCACCCATGAGGAAGGGCAATGGCACCCATGAGGAAGACCAACGGCACCCATGGGGATGGTCAACGCCACCCATGAGGAAGGCCCACAGCACCCCTGGGTGCCCCCCCACCCTCTTTCTCCCTCTCCCATTGGTTGCCCTGGGTACCATCGGGGAGCCCCGGGTGGCTCAGCTGTAGGTCCTGGCACGTGCGGGCCGGGTTCTCCCTGCTCCCCATGGGGCGCCTCAAGGCCTCCACTTCCTGCTTTAGGGAATGAAGGGATCCCAAGAGCTCCTCCATGCCCCGGCCTTGCTCCTCTTCCTCCTTCTCTTCCTCTTCCTCTTCCTCCTCCAGGAGCTCGCTGGCGTCAATGGAGCGCTTGGACTTCTTGGATGCTTGGATGGGAAGGGGTTGGATGACTTCTCCTGGGGGGCCCTTGGAAGTGGGGTGGGGGGGGGGGGGAGGAGAGGATAAGGCCTTCAGCACCATGGACGGCTCCATGGACCCATGGAATTGGGGGGGGGGGCGGGGCTGGAAGGTCCGTTCCAACCCAACGCGGTCCATGGGGGTGAAACCAGGTCCCTATTCCCATCCCATGGATCTTTGGGGCACCCAACTGGATCCCAAGACCTCAATGGGCTTCCAGGTCCATCCAAGCCATCCCATTCCTGACCCCATGGGTGAAACCAGGTCCCTATTCCCATCCCATGGATCTTTGGGGCACCCAACTGGATCCCAAGACCTCAATGGGCTTCCAGGTCCATCCAAGCCCTTATATGGGATGATCCAACTGGATTCCAAGACCTCAATGGGCTTCATGGTCCATCCAAGTCATCCCATTCCTGACCCCATGAGTGAAACCAGGTCCCTATTCCCATCCCATGGATCTTTGGGGCACCCAACTGGATCCCAAGACCTCAATGGGCTTCATGGTCCATCCAACCCATCCCATTCCTGATCCCATGGGTGAAACCAGGTCCCTATTCCCATCCCATGGATCTTTGGGGCTCCCAACTGGATCCCAAGACCTCAATGGGCTTCCAGGTCCATCCAAGCCCTTATATGGGACGATCCAACTGGATTCCAAGACCTCAATGGGCTTCCAAGTCCAACCAAGACGTTAGATGGGGCACCCAACTGGATCCCAAGACCTCAATGGGCTTCCAGGTCCATCCAACCCATCCCATTCCTGATCCCATGGGTGAAACCAGGTCCCTATTCCCATCCCATGGATCTTTGGGGCACCCAACTGGATCCCAAGACCTCAATGGGCTTCCAGGTCCAACCAAGACGTTAGATGGGGCACCCAACTGGATCCCAAGACCTCAATGGGCTTCCAGGTCCATCCAAGCCCTTATATGGGATGATCCAACTGGATCCCAAGACCTCAATGGGCTTCCAGGTCCATCCAAGCCATCCCATTCCTGATCCCATGGGTGAAACCAGGTCCCTATTCCCATCCCATGGATCTTTGGGGCACCCAACTGGATCCCAAGACCTCAATGGGCTTCCAGGTCCATCCAAGCCCTTATATGGGACGATCCAACTGGATCCCAAGACCTCAATGGGCTTCCAGGTCCATCCAAGCCCTTATATGGGACGATCCAACTGGATCCCAAGACCTCAATGGGCTTCCAGGTCCATCCAAGCCCTTATATGGGATGATCCAACTGGATTCCAAGACCTCAATGGGCTTCCAAGTCCAACCAAGACGTTAGATGGGGCACCCAACTGGATCCCAAGACCTCAATGGGCTTCCAGGTCCATCCAAGCCATCCCATTCCTGACCCCATGGGTGAAACCAGGTCCCTATTCCCATCCCATGGATCTTTGGGGCACCCAACTGGATCCCAAGACCTCAATGGGCTTCCAGGTCCATCCAAGCCCTTATATGGGATGATCCAACTGGAACCCAAGACCTCAATGGGCTTCCAGGTCCATCCAAGACCTTATATGGGACGATCCAACTGGATCCCAAGACCTCAATGGGCTTCCAGGTCCATCCAAGCCCTTATATGGGGTGATCCAACTGGATTCCAAGACCTCAATGGGCTTCCAGGTCCATCCAAGCCCTTATATGGGACGATCCAACTGGATCCCAAGACCTCAATGGGCTTCCAGGTCCATCCAAGCCCTTATATGGGGTGATCCAACTGGATTCCAAGACCTCAATGGGCTTCCAGGTCCATCCAAGCCATCCCATTCCTGATCCCATGGGTGAAACCAGGTCCCTATTCCCATCCCATGGATCTTTGGGGCACCCAACTGGATCCCGAGACCTCAATGGGCTTCCAGACCCATCCACCCCATCCCATGGTCCCTTGGGGCGCTCACCGGGTGGCCGGGGGGTCCTGGAGCTCCACGCTCCCCTTTGGGTCCTGCTTGGCCCTATAGGGAAGAACCCATTGGCTTCTGTGGGGCAGGGCTGGATGTGGGGCTGGGTGCAAGGGGTCAGCACCCTTGGCTCTTACCATGGCTCCTTTGGCTCCTTTGGGTCCAGCCGGGCCCTATGGGGCGAGAGCGGCTCTATCAGTGGTGGGGAAGACAAGGACTAGGGGCAGGGGGGGAATCTATGGGGCTGGGAGCACTCACAGGGAGGCCAGGGGGACCAGTGGGGCCAATGGGTCCGGTAGCACCAGGGATGCCCTATAGAAGAGATGGGGACAACCCGTCCATGGTGGTGGCCATCCTCAGGCTCACCTCCATGGGCCCCTCTTCTCCTGCCCCCCAAGTACTCACAGTTTCTCCTTTGTGCCCCATAGATCCGTGGGGCCCAGGGAGGCCCCGGTCCCCTTTGTCGCCCTGTTCTCCAGGCGGCCCTATCAAGCCGATGAGACCAGGGTGGCCCTAAGGAGACACAAGGAGTCCTCAATGGTGATGGGATGGGGTTGCCCCATAAGCGCGCCTCCCCAGTGGGGTTCAGCCCCATAGATGTGGGGCCCAGGGGATGGATGGAGCTCACCTTCTCTCCTTTGGCTCCGGTGTCCCCTCGGAGGCCGGGGAGCCCGGGGGGACCCTAGAAGAGGTCCATGGGTGGGCATGGGGGATGTGGGGAGCAGCACTTAGGGTTGGGGTTGGGGTTGGGGTTGGGGTTGGGGTTGGGGTTAGGGTTGGGGTTAGGTTAGGGTTTGGGTTAAGGTTAGTGTTAGGGTTAAGGTTAAGGTTATGGTTAGCATTAGTGTTAGTGTTTATTTTGGTTAAGTTTATGTTTTCCTTATATATATATATGGTTAGTATTACACTCACTTTGTTACAGTTACAGGTTGGTTTAGAAATTTAGGGTTAGGGTTAGGTTTAAGGTTAGGGTTAGGGTTAGGGTTCGAGTTAAGGTTAAGGTTAAGTTTAGGGTTAGGCTCTGTGGGTCATTAGAATGCTCTTGAACATGCTTTATTTTGCTCACTTTGTTACGTTTACTGTGTTTTCCTTATATATATATATATAGTATTACACTCACTTTGTTACAGTTACAGGGGAGAAATGGGTTATTAGGTTAGGGTTAGTTAGGTTAGGGTTAGGGTTAAGTTCTGTGGGTCATTAGAATGCTCTTGAACATGCTTTTAGGGTGCTCACTTTGTTACGTTTACTGTGTTTTCCTATATATCTTTACATATAGTATTACACTCACTTTGTTACAGTTACAGGGGAGAAATGGGTTAGGGTTAGGGTTAGGGTTAAGGTTAAGGTTAAGGGTTAGGGTTAACCTCTGTGGGTCATTAGAATGCTCTTGAACATGCTTTATTTTGCTCACTTTGTTACGTTTGTGTGTTTTCCTATATATATATATAGATTAGGGTTAAGGTTAGGGTTAGGGTTCGATTTAAGGTTAAGGTTAAGGTTAGGGTTAGGGTTAGGTTTATTTTTAAGATTAAGGTTAGGGTTAAGGTTAAGGTTATGGTTAGCATTAGAATTCTTGAACATGCTTTATTTTTACTTTGTTTAGGGTTAGGGTTTTCCTGTATATATATATAGTTTAGTATTAGGTTTTGTTACAGTTACAGGGGAGAAATGGGTTAGGGTTATGATTAGTGTTAGGGTTATGGTTAAGGTTAGGGTTAGCATTAGGTTTAGGGTTAGGGTTAAGTTTATGTTTAGGGTTAGGTTTAGGGTTAGTGTTAAGGTTAAGTTTAGGTTTAGGTTTAGGGTTAGGGTTAAGGTTAAGGTTATGGTTCGCATTAGTGTTAGGGTTAAGTTTATGGTTCGGTTTATGGTTAATAGGCAGCATTGGGGTCCTGCCCCTCATCCCATGTGGGTCATTCCCGCCCCACATCCCGGTCTCCCTGCTCCCCTCCTCACTCACCACAGGTCCCGGGAGCCCTCGGAGCCCATCGGGTCCTTGCTTCCCCCCAAGTCCTTGTGGCCCCACAGACCCCGTCTTGCCCGGAGCTCCTCTTGCTCCTGCTTCTCCCTATGGAGACCGGATTCCGGTCGATCCCAATGTCGGGAATGCCGTTGGGCAGCATCCTGCATCCCCATTGGCTCTCACCTTGGCTCCCTTCTCGCCTTGACGTCCTTCGGGGCCGGGAGAACCGGCCGGGCCCTATGGAGAGGAGACACGAAGGGATGGGGGGCATCCATGGGGCCTCGATCCCTATGGGATGCGTTGGGATCATGCGGCTCTTACCCGCTTCCCGAGGGGCCCCGGGGGACCGTTCTCTCCCGTCGGGCCTGGGGATCCCTATGGAATTGGGGGGCACAAGGGGGGGACCATGGGGACCGGGTGGGAGGGAGGAGTTCTCCCATCCCAGTGTTCCCAGTCCCATCGCATCCCATGGTGGTCGTGGTCCTCATCCCATGGCGATGCTCTGACCCACATCTCATAGGGGGTTATGGGGTAGGGAATGGGATGGGGATGGGATATATGGGATGTATGGGATGGGGATGGGAGGGATGGGATGGGAGGGATGGGGATGGGATGGGGATGGGATATAGAAGATGGATGGGATTGATGGGATGGGGATGGGATGGATGGGAGGGATGGGGATGGGATATAGGGATAGGGATGGGGATGGGGATGGGGTTGGATGGGGATAGGGAATGGGATGGGGATGGGGATGGGATATAGGGATAGGGAATGGGATGGGGATGGGGATGGGATATAGGGATAGGGATGGGGATGGATATGGGATATAGGGATAGGGATGGGGATGGATATGGGGAAAGGGATAGCGATAGGGATAGGGATATAGGGATGGGGATAGGGATAGGGTTAAGGTTAGGGATGGGGATAGGGATAGGGATGGAGATGGGATGGGATATAGGGATGGGGATAGAGATAGGGATGGAGATGGGATGGGATATAGCGATGGGGATAGGGCTATGGATAGGGATGGGATAGGGATGGGACAGGGATGGGGATGGGGATGGAATATAGGGATGGGGATAGGGATGGGGATAGGGATGGGGATAGGGATAGGGATAGGGATGGGATAGGGCTGGGGCTGGGGATGGAATATAGGGATGGGGATAGGGATAGGGATGGGGTTTGGGATAGGGATAGGGTTAAGGTTAGGGATGGGGATGGGGATAGGGATGGGGTTGCGGATGGGATATAGGGACGGGGATATAGCTATGGATAGGGATAGGGATGGGGATGGGATATGTGGATGGGGATAGGCATGGGGCTATGGATAGGGATAGGGATGGGATATAGGGATGGGATATAGGGATGGGGATAGGGATGGGGATGGAGATAGGGATAGGGATGGCGATGGGGATGGGATATAGGGATGGCGATAGGGCTATGGATAGGGATGGGATAGGGAGGGGGATGGAATATAGGGATGGGGATATGGATGGGGATAGGATATAGGGATGGTGATAGGGATGGGGATAGGATATAGGGATGGGGCTAGGGATAGGTCTATGGATAGTGCTAGGGATGTGCTATTCCCCCCCGGAATTCCAACGGGATTTTCCACTCACCGTCTCCCCGGCTTCTCCATCCTCACCCCGCTCCCCTTTGGCACCGTCCTGCCCCTGTTTTTTTGGGGGGATCGGAAGCACAAACCCAGATGAGCCCCCCCCAACCTCCCCCCCCACCCCCCCTTGTATCCCAGCACCATTCCCAACATTGGGAATGGGGCCGGACCCCCCCCCCCCACTCACCCTTGGTCCCATCTCTCCTGGAGGACCGGGATCCCCTGGGAATCCAACGGGTCCCTGGGATGGGAAGGAAATGAATGGGAGCCAATGGGGAGACCCCCCCGCCCCCCAAGTGCTTCCTGCCCCATAGAAACCCCCCACTGACCGGATTCCCTTTGGCTCCATCGTCTCCAATGGGACCTCTCCCACCCGGAGGCCCCACGGATCCGGAGGCTCCGGCTTCTCCCTTCTCCCCACGCTCGCCTCGGGGGCCCTATGGAATGGGATGGGGGGGAATGGGGATGGATATAGGGAAAAGATGGGGGGAATGTGGGGCAGGGAGGGGATGGGGGTCTCCCATTGGTGTTCACCTTGGTACCGGGTTCTCCTTGGATTCCCGGAGCTCCGGATTCGCCGGGATCACCCTGGAATGGGAAAGGGGGGAAGAGATCCCCATAGGGATGGAGGGGGAAGCCATGGGACCCATAGAAACACGATGGACATGGGTCACGGGACCCATAGAAACACGATGGCCATGGGTCACGGGACCCATAGAAACACGATGGACATGGGTAACGGGACCCATAGAAACACGATGGCCATGGGTACCGGGACCCATAGAACCACAATGGCCATGGGTACCGGGACCCATAGAAACACGATGGACATGGGTAACGGGACCCATAGAACCACAATGGCCATGGGTACCGGGACCCATAGAAACACGATGGACATGGGTCACGGGACCCATAGAAACACGATGGCCATGGGTACCCGGACCCATAGAACCCCTATATCCATGGGTAACGGGACCCATAGAAACACGATGGCCATGGGTAACGGGACCCATAGAACCCCAATATCCATGGGTAACGGGACCCATAGAAACACAATGGCCATGGTACTGGGACCCATAGAACCAGAATGGCCATGGGTACCGGGACCCATAGAAACAAAATGGCCATGGGTAACGGGACCCATAGAACCCCAATATCCATGGGTAACGGGACCCATAGAACCACAATGGCCATGGGTAACGGGACCCATAGAAACACAATGGCCATGGGTAACGGGACCCATAGAACCCCTATATCCATGGGTATCATCACCTATAGAACCCCAATATCCATGGGTAACGGGACCCATAGAACCACGATATCCATGGGTAACGGGACCCATAGAACCACGATATCCATGGGTAACGGGACCCATAGAAACACAATGGCCATGGGTAACGGGACCCATAGAACCCCAATATCCATGGGTAACGGGACCCATAGAACCACAATGGCCATGGGTAACGGGACCCATAGAAACACAATGGCCATGGGTAACGGGACCCATAGATCCCCTATATCCATGGGTACCGGGACCCATAGAACCACAATGGCCATGGGTAACGGGACCCATAGAACCCCAATATCCATGGGTAACGGGACCCATAGAACCACAATGGCCATGGGTACCGGGACCCATAGAACCCCTATATCCATGGGTATCATCACCTATAGAACCCCAACATCCATGGGTACCGGGACCCATAGAACCACAATGGCCATGGGTAACAGGACCCATAGAACCCCTATATCCATGGGTATCATTATCCATAGCCCCACATATCCATGCCCCCCATATCCATCCCCCCATATCCATCCCCCCATATCCATCCCCCCATATCCATGCCCCCCATATCCATCCCCCCATATCCATGCCCCCCATATCCATCCCCCCATATCCATGCCCCCCATATCCATCCCCCCATATCCATGCCCCCCATATCCATCCCCCCATATCCATGCCCCATATCCATCCCCCCATATCCATGCCCCCCATATCCATGCCCCCCATATCCATCCCCCCATATCCATCCCCCCCATATCCATGCCCCACATATCCATTGCCCCACACATCCATGCCCCACACATCCATCCCCCCATATCCATGCCCCCCATATCCATCCCCCCATATCCATTGCCCCCCATATCCATCCCCCCATATCCATCCCCCCATATCCATCCCCCCATATCCATCCCCCCATATCCATCCCCCCATATCCATACCCCCATATCCATTGCCCCCCATATCCATCCCCCCATATCCATCCCCCCATATCCATCCCCCCATATCCATCCCCCCATATCCATCCCCCCCATATCCATGCCCCCCCCACTATGTCCCCCCCATTGAGCCCCCCATCCCTGTGTCCCCACAACTGTGCCCCCCATATCCATGCCCCCCATATCCATGCCCCCATATCCATCCCCCCATATCCATACCCCCCATATCCATCCCCCCATATCCATCCCCCCCATATCCATCCCCCCATATCCATCCCCCCATATCCATCCCCCCCATATCCATGCCCCCCATATCCATGCCCCATATCCATCCCCCCATATCCATCCCCCCATATCCATCCCCCCATATCCATCCCCCCATATCCATGCCCCCCATATCCATCCCCCCATATCCATTGCCCCCCATATCCATCCCCCCATATCCATCCCCCCATATCCATCCCCCCATATCCATCCCCCCATATCCATTGCCCCCCATATCCATGCCCCCCATATCCATCCCCCCCATATCCATCCCCCCATATCCATCCCCCCCATATCCATGCCCCCATATCCATGCCCCCCATATCCATGCCCCCCTTTTCCATCCCCCCATATCCATACCCCCATATCCATCCCCCCATATCCATCCCCCCATATCCATGCCCCACACATCCATACCCCCCATATCCATGCCCCACACATCCATGCCCCCCATATCCATCCCCCCATATCCATTGCCCCACACATCCATTGCCCCCCACATCCATGCCCCACACATCCATGCCCCACACATCCATGCCCCACACATCCATTGCCCCACACATCCATGCCCCACACATCCATGCCCCACACATCCATGCCCCACACATCCATTGCCCCACACATCCATTGCCCCACACATCCATGCCCCACACATCCATTGCCCCACACATCCATTGCCCCACACATCCATGCCCCACACATCCATGCCCCACACATCCATTGCCCCACACATCCATGCCCCACACATCCATGCCCCCATATCCATTGCCCCACACATCCATGCCCCACACATCCATACCCCACACATCCATGCCCCACACATCCATTGCCCCACACATCCATGCCCCACACATCCATGCCCCACACATCCATGCCCCACACATCCATGCCCCACACATCCATGCCCCACACATCCATTGCCCCACACATCCATGCCCCACACATCCATTGCCCCACACATCCATGCCCCACACATCCACGCCCCACATATCCATGCCCCACATATCCATTGCCCCACACATCCATGCCCCACACATCCATTGCCCCACACATCCATGCCCCACACATCCATGCCCCCCATATCCATGGCCCCCATATCCATGCCCCACACATCCATGCCCCACACATCCATTGCCCCACACATCCATTGCCCCACACATCCATGCCCCACACATCCATGCCCCCATATCCATTGCCCCCCATATCCATCCCCCCATATCCATTGCCCCACACATCCATTGCCCCACACATCCATGCCCCACACATCCATTGCCCCACACATCCATGCCCCACACATCCATTGCCCCACACATCCATGCCCCACACATCCATTGCCCCACACATCCATGCCCCACACATCCATGTCCCACACATCCATTGCCCCACACATCCATACCCCCATATCCATGCCCCACACATCCATTGCCCCACACATCCATTGCCCCACACATCCATGCCCCACACATCCATACCCCCATATCCATCCCCCCATATCCATCCCCCCATATCCATGCCCCACACATCCATGCCCCACACATCCATTGCCCCACACATCCATGCCCCACACATCCATTGCCCCACACATCCATGCCCCACACATCCATTGCCCCACACATCCATGCCCCACACATCCACGCCCCACATATCCATGCCCCACATATCCATTGCCCCACACATCCATGCCCCACACATCCATTGCCCCACACATCCATGCCCCACACATCCATACCCCCATATCCATGCCCCCCATATCCCTGGCCCCCATATCCATGCCCCACACATCCATGCCCCACACATCCATTGCCCCACACATCCATTGCCCCACACATCCATGCCCCACACATCCATGCCCCCATATCCATTGCCCCCCATATCCATCCCCCCATATCCATTGCCCCACACATCCATTGCCCCACACATCCATGCCCCACACATCCATTGCCCCACACATCCATGCCCCACACATCCATGCCCCACACATCCATGCCCCATATCCATTGCCCCCCATATCCATGCCCCACACATCCATGCCCCACACATCCATGCCCCACACATCCATTGCCCCACACATCCATTGCCCCACACATCCATGCCCCACACATCCATTGCCCCACACATCCATTGCCCCACACATCCATGCCCCACACATCCATTGCCCCACACATCCATGCCCCACACATCCATGCCCCACACATCCATTGCCCCACACATCCATGCCCCACACATCCATGCCCCACACATCCATGCCCCACACATCCATTGCCCCACACATCCATTGCCCCACACATCCATGCCCCACACATCCATGCCCCACACATCCATTGCCCCACACATCCATGCCCCACACATCCATTGCCCCACACATCCATGCCCCACACATCCATACCCCACACATCCATGCCCCACACATCCATTGCCCCACACATCCATGCCCCACACATCCATTGCCCCACACATCCATTGCCCCACACATCCATGCCCCACACATCCATTGCCCCACACATCCATTGCCCCACACATCCATCCCCCCCATATCCATGCCCCACACATCCATACCCCCCATATCCATGCCCCACACATCCATGCCCCACACATCCATTGCCCCACACATCCATTGCCCCACACATCCATGCCCCACACATCCATTGCCCCACATATCCATTGCCCCACACATCCATGCCCCACACATCCATGCCCCACACATCCATGCCCCACACATCCATGCCCCACACATCCATGCCCCCATATCCATTGCCCCACACATCCATTGCCCCACACATCCATTGCCCCACACATCCATGCCCCACACATCCATACCCCCATATCCATTGCCCCACACATCCATGCCCCACACATCCACGCCCCACACATCCATTGCCCCACACATCCATGCCCCACACATCCATTGCCCCACACATCCATGCCCCACACATCCATTGCCCCACACATCCATGCCCCACACATCCATGCCCCACACATCCATTGCCCCACACATCCATGCCCCACACATCCATTGCCCCACACATCCATTGCCCCACCCATCCAAGCCCCCCACATCCATGCCCCACACATCCATTGCCCCACACATCCATACCCCACACATCCATACCCCACACATCCATGCCCCACACATCCATTGCCCCACACATCCATTGCCCCACACATCCATGCCCCACACATCCATTGCCCCACACATCCATGCCCCACACATCCACGCCCCATCCTCACCTTCTCCCCTTGCGGCCCCACATTCCCGACGCCCCCCGGCGCTCCCTGTGGTCCCTATGGAACAGAAGGGGAATGGGAAAACCCCATAGCATCCCCCCCCCCCCCCCATAGCGCCCCATAGATGCGGATGTGGGGCTGGGCTCTCACATCGGCTCCGGAGCCTCCGCCTGGACCACGAGGACCTGGGGGTCCGGGGGGGCCCTAAAGTGTGGGGCGAGATAAGAAGAGGGGGGGTTGGTTATGGGGCGCACCCCCCAAGTGCTGCCCCATAGGGACCCATAGATGTGGGGTGGGGGGGGGGGGGACACTCACCATTGGCCCCACATCGCCGGTCTCCCCCTTGTCACCAGCGGGACCCGGCAGCCCCTATGGGGTGGGGAGGGGTTAACTTGGGGGGCAGAGAGGGGTGGAGAGAGGGGGTTATGGGGGGTGCTATGGGGCAATGGGATTGATTATGGGGGGTGCTATGGGGCAATGGGGTTGGTTATGGGGCAATGGGGTTGGTTATGGGGGTGCTATGGGGCAATGGGATTGGTTATGGGGGCGCTATGGGGCGGTGGGGTTGGTTATGGGGCGATGGGGTTGGTTATGGGGCGATGGGGTTGGTTATGGGGGCGCTATGGGGCAATGGAATTGGTTATGGGGGCGCTATGGGGCAATGGGATTGGTTATGGGGCCGCTATGGGGCAATGGGATTGGTTATGGGGCAATGGGATGGGTTATGGGGCGATGGGGTTGGTTATGGGGCAATGGGGTTGGTTATGGGGCCGCTATGGGGCAATGGGATTGGTTATGGGGCAATGGGATGGGTTATGGGGCGATGGGGTTGGTTATGGGGCAATGGGGTTGGTTATGGGGCAATGGGGTTGGTTATGAGGCAATGGGGTTGGTTATGGGGCACGCTATGGGGCAATGGGGTTGGTTATGGGGCAATGGGATTGGTTATGGGGGCGCTATGGGGCAATGGGGTTGGTTATGGGGCAGTGGGGTTGGTTATGGGGCGCTATGGGGCAATGGGGTTGGTTATGGGGGCGCTATGGGGCAATGGGGTTGGTTATGGGGCGATGGGGTTGGTTATGAGGCAATGGGGTTGGTTATGGGGCACGCTATGGGGCAATGGGGTTTGTTATGGGGCAATGGGATTGGTTATGGGGGCGCTATGGGGCAATGGGGTTGGTTATGGGGCGATGGGGTTGGTTATGGGGCAATGGGATGGGTTATGGGGGGCGCTATGGGGCAATGGGGTTGGTTATGGGGTGATGGGGTTGGTTATGGGGCAGTGGGGTTGGTTATGGGGCAATGGGGTTGGTTATGGGGCAGTGGGGTTGGTTATGGGGCAATGGGGTTGGTTATGGGGCAATGGGGTTGGTTATGGGGCAATGGGGTTGGTTATGGGGCAGTGGGGTTGGTTATGGGGCAATGGGGTTGGTTATGGGGGCGCTATGGGGCAATGGGGTTGGTTATGGGGCGATGGGGGTGGTTATGGGGCAATGGGGTTGGTTATGGGGGCGCTATGGGGCAATGGGGTTGGTTATGGGGCAATGGGATTGATTATGGGGGGGTGCTATAGGGCGGTAGGATTGGTTATGGGGCAATGGGATTGGTTATGGGGCAATGGGGTTGGTTATGGGGCAATGGGATTGGTTATGGGGGCGCTATGGGGCAATGGGGTTGGTTATGGGGCACGCTATGGGGCAATGGGGTTGGTTATGGGGTAATGGGGGTGGTTATGGGGCAATGGGGTTGGTTATGGGGTGCGCTATGGGGTGATGGGGTTGGTTATGGGGCGATGGGGTTGGTTATGGGGGCGCTATGGGGCAATGGGATTGGTTATGGGGGCGCTATGGGGCAATGGGGTTGGTTATGGGGCAATGGGATGGGTTATGGGGGGCGCTATAGGGCAATGGGGTTGGTTATGGGGCAGTGGGGTTGGTTATGGGGCGATGGGGTTGGTTATGGGGCAGTGGGGTTGGTTATGGGGCAGTGGGGTTGGTTATGGGGCAATGGGATGGGTTATGGGGGGCGCTATGGGGCAATGGGGTTGGTTATGGGGGCGCTATGGGGCAATGGGGTTGGTTATGGGGCAGTGGGGTTGGTTATGGGGCGATGGGGTTGGTTATGGGGCGGTGGGGTTGGTTATGGGGCAATGGGGTTGGTTATGGGTCAATGGGGTTGGTTATGGGGCAATGGGGTTGGTTATGGGGCAATGGGATTGGTTATGGGGGCACTATGGGGCAATGGGGTTGGTTATGGGGGCGCTATGGGGCAATGGGGTTGGTTATGGGGCAATGGGATTGGTTATGGGGGCACTATGGGGCAATGGGGTTGGTTATGGGGGCACTATGGGGCAGTGGGGTTGGTTATGGGGCACGCTATGGGGCAATGGGGTTGGTTATGGGGCAATGGGATTGGTTATGGGGCGCGCTATGGGGCAATGGGGTTGGTTATGGGGCAATGGGATTGGTTATGGGGGCGCTATGGGGCAATGGGGTTGGTTATGGGGCAGCTATGGGGCAATGGGGTTGGTTATGGGGCAATGGGATGGGTTATGGGGCGATGGGGTTGGTTATGGGGCAATGGGGTTGGTTATGGGGCAATGGGGTTGGTTATGGGGCAGTGGGATTGGTTATGGGGGCGCTATGGGGCAATGGGGTTGGTTATGGGGCAGCTATGGGGCAGTGGGGTTGGTTATGGGGGCGCTATGGGGCAATGGGGTTGGTTATGCGGCAGCTATGGGGCAATGGGGTTGGTTATGGGGGCGCTATGGGGCAGTGGGGTTGGTTATGGGGGCGCTATGGGGCAATGGGGTTGGTTATGGGGCAATGGGGTTGGTTATGGGGCAATGGGGTTGGTTATGGGGCACGCTATGGGGCAATGGGGTTGGTTATGGGGGCGCTATGGGGCAATGGGGTTGGTTATGGGGCAATGGGGTTGGTTATGGGGCAATGGGATTGGTTATGGGGGCGCTATGGGGCAATGGGGTTGGTTATGGGGCACGCTATGGGGCAATGGGGTTGGTTATGGGGCAATGGGATTGGTTATGGGGCAATGGGGTTGGTTATGGGGCAAGGGGGTTGGTTATGGGGTGCGCTATGGGGCAATGGGGTTGGTTATGGGGGTGCTATAGGACGATGGGATTGGTTATGGGGTGCGCTATGGGGCAATGGGGTTGGTTATGGGGCAATGGGGTTGGTTATGGGGCAGTGGGGTTGGTTATGGGGCAATGGGGTTGGTTATGGGGCAGTGGGGTTGGTTATGGGGCAATGGGGTTGGTTATGGGGCGATGGGGTTGGTTATGGGGGCGCTATGGGGCGGTGGGATTGGTTATGGGGCAATGGGGTTGGTTATGGGGGCGCTATGGGGCAATGGGATGGGTTATGGGGGCGCTATGGGGCAATGGGGTTGGTTATGGGGCAATGGGGTTGGTTATGGGGCGATGGGGTTGGTTATGGGGCAATGGGGTTGGTTATGGGGCACGCTATGGGGCAATGGGGTTGGTTATGGGGCAATGGGGTTGGTTATGGGGCACGCTATGGGGCGATGGGGTTGGTTATGGGGCAATGGGGTTGGTTATGGGGCAATGGGATTGGTTATGGGGGGCTATGGGGCAATGGGGTTGGTTATGGGGGCGCTATGGGGCAATGGGGTTGGTTATGGGGCAATGGGGTTGGTTATGGGGCAGTGGGGCCCCACCTGCAGCCCTATGGGGCCTGGGGCTCCATTGAATCCCCTCGTCCCCTCGTCCCCTTTGGTTCCAAAGTGACCCTGGGCTCCTCGGGCCCCCGGCTCCCCATCGGCTCCCTATGGGGCAGGAAGGGGGTGAGGGCCCCATAGGGCGCAATGGGGCTGCCCCACGGGACCCATAGCGGGCCCCATAGGGAGCCCCGCGCCATGGGGACAGGGGGGATGCTCACGGCTGCTCCGGGTTGGCCGACGGCTCCAATGGGGCCAGGGGGGCCCGGGGGTCCCTATGGAGATAGAGGGGGGCTATGGGGCAGCAGTGACCCATAGAGGGCTATGGGGCAGGATAGACCCATAGAGGGCTATGGGGCGGCAGTGACCCATAGAGGGCTATGGGGCAGGATAGACCCATAGAGGGCTATGGGGCAGTGACCCATAGAGGGCTATGGGGCAGGATAGACCCATAGAGGGCTATGGGGCGGCAGTGACCCATAGAGGGCTATGGGGTGGCAGTGGCCCATAGAGAGCAATGGGGCAGGATTGACCCATAGAGGGCTATGGGGCAGCAGGGACCCATAGAGGGCTATGGGGCAGGATAGACCCATAGAGGGCTATGGGGCAGGATTGACACATAGAGGGCAATGGGGCAGCAGTGACCCATAGAGGGCTATGGGGCAGCAGTGACCCATAGAGGGCTATGGGGCGGCAGTGACCCATAGAGGGCTATGGGGCAGCAGGGACCCATAGAGGGCTATGGGGCGGCAGTGACCCATAGAGAGCAATGGGGCAGCAGGGACCCATAGAGGGCTATGGGGCAGTGACCCATAGAGGGCTATGGGGCAGCAGGGACCCATAGAGGGCTATGGGGCAGCAGTGACCCATAGAGGGCTATGGGGCAGGGACCCATAGAGGGCTATGGGGCAGCAGGGACCCATAGAGAGCAATGGGGCAGGATTGACCCATAGAGGGCTATGGGGCAGGATAGACCCATAGAGAGCAATGGGGCAGGATTGACCCATAGAGGGCTATGGGGCGGCTGTGACCCATAGAGGGCTATGGGGCAGGATTGACCCATAGAGGGCTATGGGGCAGGACTGACCCATAGAGGGCTATGGGGCAGGATTGACCCATAGAGGGCTATGGGGCAGGATAGACCCATAGAGGGCTATGGGGCAGCAAGGACCCATAGAGGGCTATGGGGCAGTGACCCATAGAGGGCTATGGGGCAGGATAGACCCATAGAGAGCAATGGGGCAGTGACCCATAGAGGGCTATGGGGCGGCAGTGACCCATAGAGAGCAATGGGGCAGTGACCCATAGAGGGCTATGGGGCAGGATTGACCCATAGAGGGCTATGGGGCAGGATTGACCCATAGAGAGCAATGGGGCGGCAGTGACCCATAGAGGGCTATGGGGCAGCAGTGACCCATAGAGAGCAATGGGGCAGCAGGGACCCATAGAGGGCTATGGGGCAGGGACCCATAGAGGGCTATGGGGCAGGATTGACCCATAGAGGGCTATGGGGCGGCAGTGACCCATAGAGGGCTATGGGGCAGCAGTGACCCATAGAGGGCTATGGGGCAGGATAGACCCATAGAGGGCTATGGGGCGGCAGTGACCCATAGAGGGCTATGGGGCGGCAGGGACCCATAGAGGGCTATGGGGCAGGACTGACCCATAGAGGGCTATGGGGCACTGACCCATAGAGGGCTATGGGGCGGCAGTGACCCATAGAGGGCTATGGGGCGGCAGGGACCCATAGAGGGCTATGGGGCAGGACTGACCCATAGAGGGCTATGGGGCACTGACCCATAGAGGGCTATGGGGCGGCAGTGACCCATAGAGGGCTATGGGGCAGCAGTGACCCATAGAGGGCTATGGGGCGGCACTGACCCATAGAGGGCTATGGGGCAGGATAGACCCATAGAGAGCAATGGGGCAGCAGGGACCCATAGAGGGCTATGGGGCAGGACTGACCCATAGAGGGCTATGGGGCGGCAGTGACCCATAGAGGGCTATGGGGCGGCAGTGACCCATAGAGGGCTATGGGGCAGCAGTGACCCATAGAGGGCTATGGGGCGGCAGTGACCCATAGAGGGCTATGGGGCAGCAGGGACCCATAGAGGGATATGGGGCAGCAGGGACCCATAGAGAGCAAAGGGGCAGCAGTGACCCATAGAGGGCTATGGGGCGGCAGTGACCCATAGAGGGCTATGGGGCGGCAGTGACCCATAGAGGGCTATGGGGCAGGATAGACCCATAGAGAGCAATGGGGCAGCAGTGACCCATAGAGGGCTATGGGGCAGCAGGGACCCATAAAGGGCTATGGGGCGGCACTGACCCATAGAGGGCAATGGGGCGGCAGTGACCCATAGAGGGCTATGGGGCAGGATTGACCCATAGAGGCCTATGGGGCTGCAGTGACCCATAGAGGGCTATGGGGCACTGACCCATAGAGGGCTATGGGGCGGCAGTGACCCATAGAGGGCTATGGGGCGGCAGTGACCCATAGAGGGCTATGGGGCACTGACCCATAGAGGGCTATGGGGCAGCAGGGACCCATAGAGGGCTATGGGGCACTGACCCATAGAGGGCTATGGGGCGGCAGTGACCCATAGAGGGCTATGGGGCGGCAGTGACCCATAGAGGGCTATGGGACGGCAGTGACCCATAGAGGGCTATGGGGCAGCAGGGACCCATAGAGGGCTATGGGGCAGGATAGACCCATAGAGGGCTATGGGGCAGCAGTGACCCATAGAGGGCTATGGGGCAGCAGGGACCCATAGAGGGCTATGGGGCAGGAGTGACCCATAGAGGGCTATGGGGCGGCAGTGACCCATAGAGGGCTATGGGGCGGCACTGACCCATAGAGGGCTATGGGGCAGGGTTGACCCATAGAGGGCTATGGGGCAGCAGGGACCCATAGAGAGCAATGGGGCAGGATTGACCCATAGAGGGCTATGGGGTGGCAGTGACCCATAGAGGGCTATGGGGCGGCAGTGACCCATAGAGGGCTATGGGGCGGCAGTGACCCATAGAGGGCTAAGGGGCAGCAGGGACCCATAGAGGGCTATGGGGCAGGATTGACCCATAGAGGGCTATGGGGCGGCACTGACCCATAGAGGGCTATGGGGCGGCACTGACCCATAGAGAGCTATGGGGCGGCAGGGACCCATAAAGGGCTATGGGGCGGCAGTGACCCATAGAGGGCTATGGGGCGGCAGTGACCCATAGAGGGCTATGGGGCAGGATAGACCCATAGAGGGCTATGGGGCAGCAGTGACCCATAGAGGGCTATGGGGCGGCAGTGACCCATAGAGAGCAATGGGGCAGCAGTGACCCATAGAGGTCTATGGGGCAGGACTGACCCATAGAGGGCTATGGGGCAGGATTGACCCATAGAGAGCAATGGGGCAGCAGTGACCCATAGAGGGCTATGGGGCAGGATAGACCCATAGAGGGCTATGGGGCGGCAGTGACCCATAGAGGGCTATGGGGCGGCAGTGACCCATAGAGAGCAATGGGGCGGCAGTGACCCATAGAGGGCTATGGGGCAGCAGGGACCCATAGAGACCTATGGGGCGGCAGTGACCCATAGAGGGCTATGGGGCGGCAGTGACCCATAGAGGGCTATGGGGCGGCAGTAACCCATAGAGAGCAATGGGGCGGCAGTGACCCATAGAGGGCTATGGGGCGGCAGTGACCCATAGAGGGCTATGGGGCGGCAGTGACCCATAGAGGGCTATGGGGCGGCAGTGACCCATAGAGGGCTATGGGGCAGGATAGACCCATAGAGAGCAATGGGGCGGCAGTGACCCATAGAGAGCTATGGGGCGGCAGTGACCCATAGAGGGCTATGGGGCAGGATTGACCCATAGAGGGCTATGGGGCAGGACTGACCCATAGAGGGCTATGGGGCAGGATTGACCCATAGAGAGCAATGGGGCGGCAGTGACCCATAGAGAGCAATGGGGCAGGATAGACCCATAGACGGCTATGGGGCGGAAGTGACCCATAGAGGGCAATGGGGCTGGATTGACCCATAGAGGGCTATGGGGCGGCAGTGACCCATAGAGAGCTATGGGGCAGCAGTGACCCATAGAGGGCTATGGGGCAGGACTGACCCATAGAGAGCAATGGGGCAGGACTGACCCATAGAGGGCTATGGGGCAGCACTGACCCATAGAGAGCAATGGGGCAGGATTGACCCATAGAGGGCTATGGGGCAGCAGTGACCCATAGGGGGCTATGGGGCGGCAGTGACCCATAGAGGGCTATGGGGCGGCAGTGACCCATAGAGGGCTATGGGGCAGGATAGACCCATAGAGAGCAATGGGGCGGCAGTGACCCATAGAGGGCTATGGGGCAGCAGTGACCCATAGAGGGCTATGGGGCTGGATTGACCCATAGAGGGCTATGGGGCAGCAGTGACTCATAGAGGGCTATGGGGCAGGATTGACACATAGAGGGCTATGGGGCGGCAGTGACCCATAGGGGGCTATGGGGCGGCAGTGACCCATAGAGAGCAATGGGGCAGGATTGACCCATAGAGCGCTATGGGGCAGCAGGGACCCATAGAGGGCTATGGGGCAGGATTGACCCATAGAGAGCAATGGGGCAGCATTGACCCATAGAGAGCAATGGGGCAGCATTGACCCATAGAGGGCTATGGGGCAGTGACCCATAGAGGGCTATGGGGCGGCACTGACCCATAGAGGGCTATGGGGCAGGATAGACCCATAGAGGGCTATGGGGCGGCAGTGACCCATAGAGGGCAATGGGGCAGCAGTGACCCATAGAGGGCTATGGGGCAGCAGGGACCCATAGAGGGCTATGGGGCGGCAGTGACCCATAGAGGGCTATGGGGCGGCAGTGACCCATAGAGGGCTATGGGGCAGCAGTGACCCATACAGAGCAATGGGGCAGCAGTGACCCATAGAGAGCAATGGGGCGGCAGTGACCCATAGAGGGCTATGGGGCGGCAGTGACCCATAGAGAGCAATGGGGCAGGACTGACCCATAGAGGGCTATGGGGCGGCAGTGACCCATAGAGGGCTATGGGGCAGGGACCCATAGAGGGCTATGGGGCAGGATTGACCCATAGAGGGCTATGGGGCGGCAGTGACCCATAGGGGGCTATGGGGCAGGACTGACCCATAGAGGGCTATGGGGCAGGATTGACCCATAGAGGGCTATGGGGCGGCAGTGACCCATAGAGGGCTATGGGGCAGGGACCCATAGAGGGCTATGGGGCAGCAGTGACCCATAGAGGGCTATGGGGCAGGGACCCATAGAGGGCTATGCGGCGGCAGTGACCCATAGAGAGATATGGGGCAGGACTGACCCATAGAGGGCTATGGGGCAGCACTGGCCCATAGAGAGCAATAGGGCAGCACTGACCCATAGAGGGCTATGGGGCGGCAGTGACCCATAGAGGGCTATGGGGCGGCAGTGACCCATAGAGGGCTATGGGGCAGGATAGACCCATAGAGAGCAATGGGGCGGCAGTGACCCATAGAGGGCTATGGGGCAGGATAGACCCATAGAGGGCTATGGGGCGGCACTGACCCATAGAGGGCTATGGGGCAGGGCTATGGGGCAGGACTGACCCATAGAGGGTTATGGGGCAGCAGTGACCCATAGAGGGCTATGGGGCAGGGACCCATAGAGGGCTATGGGGCCACTCACGTGCTCTCCTTTGGTGCCTTTGGTGCCCTTGGAGCCGGGATCCCCGACCTCACCCTGGGGTTGGGGGGAGAAGATGCTCAAATCCATGGGGCAGCAATGGGGGGCAATGGGGGCAATGGGGGTCAATGGGGGTCAATGGGGGTCAATGGGGCAATGGGGGGCAATGGGGGGCAATGGGGGCAATGGGGGCAATGGGGGCAATGGGGTAATGGGGGGCAATGGGAATCAATGGGAGTCAATGGGAGTCAATGGGGGTCAATGGGGGTCAATGGGAGTCAATGGGGGTCAATGGGGGTCAATGGGGTCAATGGGAGTCAATGGGAGTCAATGGGGGTCAATGGGAGTCAATGGGAGTCAATGGGGGTCAATGGGAGTCAATGGGAGTCAATGGGGGTCAATGGGGGTCAATGGGGGTCAATGGGAGTCAATGGGGGTCAATGGGGGTCAATGGGGACCAATGGGGGTCAATGGGAGTCAATGGGGGTCAATGGGAGTCAATGGGGGTCAATGGGGGTCAATGGGGACCAATGGGGGTCAATGGGGGTCAATGGGAGTCAATGGGGGTCAATGGGAGTCAATGGGGGTCAATGGGTCGCTATGGGGCGCTATGGGGCAGGATGGGGGGGGGTTCTCACCTTGTCTCCGTCCTCTCCTGCCCCACCGGGGGGCCCGGCGGGACCTGGGAGCCCCACAGGTCCCTGCGCCCCATCGCGGCCAGCGGGACCCACGGAGCCCTTGTCCCCCTATGGGGAGATGGGGGGCAATGGGGGGCAATGGGGATCAATGGGGGTCAATGGGGGTCAATGGGGTTCAATGGGGGGCAATGGGGGGCAATGGGGTCAATGGGGATCAATGGGGATCAATGGGAATCAATGGGGATCAATGGGGGTCAATGGGGGTCAATGGGGATCAATGGGGGTCAATGGGGATCAATGGGGTGCAATGGGGGTCAATGGGGTCAATGGGGATCAATGGGGATCAATGGGGATCAATGGGGTTCAATGGGGATCAGTGGGGGTCAATGGGGGTCAATGGGGTGCAATGGGGTTCAATGGGGGCAATGGGGATCAATGGGGTTGAATGGGGGCAATGGGGATCAATGGGGTGCAATGGGGGTCAATGGGGGCAATGGGGTCAATGGGGGGCAATGGGGACAATGGGGGGCAATGGGGGGCAATGGGGGGCAATGGGGGTCAATGGGGATCAATGGGGTTCAATGGGGGTCTATGGGTTCAATGGGGATCTATGGGGCTCTATGGGGCTCTATGGGGATCTATGGGGTGCAATGGGGATCTATGGGGCTCTATGGGGCTCTATGGGGTTCAATGGGGTTCAATGGGGTGCAATGGGGTTCAATGGGTTCAATGGGGTTCAATGGGGTTCAATGGGGTTCAATGGGGATCAATGGGGTTCAATGGGGTTCAATGGGGATCAATGGGGTTCAATGGGGTTCAATGGGGATCAATGGGGTGCAATGGGGTGCAATGGGGCTCAATGGGGGTCAATGGGGTTCAATGGGGTTCAATGGGGATCAATGGCGTGCAATGGGGTTCAATGGGGGTCAATGGGGTTCAATGGGGTTCAATGGCGTGCAATGGGGTTCAATGGGGATCAATGGGGTTCAATGGGGATCAATGGGGTGCAATGGGGTGCAATGGGGCTCAATGGGGGTCAATGGGGTTCAATGGGGTTCAATGGGGATCAATGGCGTGCAATGGGGTTCAATGGGGGTCAATGGGGTTCAATGGGGTTCAATGGCGTGCAATGGGGTTCAATGGGGATCAATGGGGTTCAATGGGGATCAATGGGGTGCAATGGGGATCAATGGGGATCAATGGGGATCAATGGGTTTCAATGGGGCTCAATGGGGATCAATGGGGCTCTATGGGGATCAATGGGTTTCAATGGGGCTCTAAGGGGTCTATGGGGATCAATGGGGCTCAATGGGTTTCAATGGGGTCTATGGGGTCTATGGGGCACCCACCGGAATTCCCTTCTCTCCGGCTGCACCTGGGGGTCCCTGAGCTCCGGGTCTCCCTGGGGGGCCAACGGGACCCCCTTGTCCTGGAGCCCCCCGCTCCCCTGGAGAGCCCTGGGGGGCAGCGATATGGGGCAGTGACCCATAGAGAGCAATGGGGCAGTGACCCATAGAGAGCAATGGGGCAGTGACCCATAGAGAGCAATGGGGCAGTGACCCATAGAGAGCAATGGGGCACAGTGACCCATAGAGAGCAATGGGGCAGTGACCCATAGAGAGCAATGGGGCACAGTGACCCATAGGGAGCAATGGGGCAGTGACCCATAGGGAGCAATGGGGCTGTGACCCATAGAGAGCAATGGGGCACAGTGACCCATAGGGAGCAATGGGGCAGTGACCCATAGAGAGCAATGGGGCAGTGACCCATAGGGAGCAATGGGGCAGTGACCCATAGAGAGCAATGGGGCAGTGACCCATAGGGAGCAATGGGGCAGTGACCCATAGAGAGCAATGGGGCAGTGACCCATAGAGAGCAATGGGGCACAGTGACCCATAGGGAGCAATGGGGCAGTGACCCATAGAGAGCAATGGGGCAGTGACCCATAGGGAGCAATGGGGCAGTGACCCATAGAGAGCAATGGGGCAGTGACCCATAGGGAGCAATGGGGCAGTGACCCATAGGGAGCAATGGGGCAGTGACCCATAGAGAGCAATGGGGCAGTGACCCATAGGGAGCAATGGGGCAGTGACCCATAGAGAGCAATGGGGCAGTGACCCATAGAGAGCAATGGGGCAGTGACCCATAGAGAGCAATGGGGCAGTGACCCATAGAGAGCAATGGGGCAGTGACCCATAGAGAGCAATGGGGCAGTGACCCATAGGGAGCAATGGGGCAGTGACCCATAGGGAGCAATGGGGCAGTGACCCATAGGGAGCAATGGGGCAGTGACCCATAGAGAGCCATGGGGCAGTGACCCATAGAGACCTATGGGGATACTCACAGCAGGTCCTGGGGGGCCGGCGGGTCCCTCGTTGCCCTTCAGCCCTGGGCCGCCCTATGGGGAGAAGCGGGGTGCTCAGTGGGGTGATTCCATGGGGATCCATTGGGACTCCCATAGGGCTCTATGGGGCCTGCCATAGGGCTCCATAGGGCTCCATAGGAATCTATGGGGCCTCCCATAGGGCTCCATAGGGCTCCATAGGGCTCTATGGGGCCTGCCATAGGGCTCCATAGGGCTCCATAGGAATCTATGGGGCCTCCCATAGGGCTCCATAGGAATCCATAGGGCTCCATAGGAATCTATGGGGCCTCCCGTAGGGCTCCATAGGGCTCCATAGGGCTCCATAGGGCTCCATAGGGCTCTATGGGGCCCCCCATAGGGCTCCGTAGGGACTCCCATAGGGATCCATAGGGACTCCCATAGGGATCCATGTGGACTCCATAGGGCTCCATAGGGACTCCTATAGGAATCTATGGGGCCTCCCATAGGGCTCCATGGGGCCTCCCATAGGGCTCCATAGGGATCCATAGGGCTCCATGCGGACTCCCATAGGGATCCATGCGGAATCCATAGGGCTCCATAGGGCTACATAGGAATCTATGGGGCCTCCCATAGGGCTCTATGGGGCCCCCCATAGGGCTCCATAGGGCTCCATAGGAATCTATGGGGCCTCCCATAGGGCTCCATAGGGCTCCATAGGGACTCCCATAGGGCTCTATGGGGCCTCCCATAGGAATCTATGGGGCCTCCCATAGGGCTCCATAGGGCTCCATAGGAATCTATGGGGCCCCCCATAGGAATCTATGGGGCCTCCCATAGGGCTCTATGGGGCCTCCCATAGGGCACCATAGGGCTCCATAGGGCTCCATAGGGCTCCATGGAACCTCCCATAGGAATCTATGGGGCCTCCCATAGGGCTCCATAGGGCTCCATAGGGCTCTATGGGGCCTCCCATAGGGCTCCATAGGAATCTATGGGGCCTCCCATAGGGCTCCATAGGAATCTGTGGGGCCTCCCATAGGGCTCCATAGGGCTCCATAGGGCTCCATAGGGCTCTATGGGGCCTCCCATAGGAATCTATGGGGCCTCCCATAGGGCTCCATAGGGCACCATAGGGCTCCATAGGGCTCCATAGGGCTCCATAGGAATCTATGGGGCCCCCATAGGGCCTCACTCACCGCCGCGCCGGGCATGCCGCGCTCGCCGGGGATCCCCCTCAATCCCGCGGGTCCGTCCTTGCCGTGGGGCCCTGTGGGGCCGGGATCTCCCTATGGGGCAAAGGGGGGCGGGGATAGGATCACGTGGGGACCCCCCAAAGGGTTTCAGCCAATGGGGAGGCCTCACCTTGGCACCGTCCTTGCCGGAGGGCCCGGGAAGCCCCTGTTCGCCGGGGGGACCGGGAGGACCGGGATGGCCGCGCTCTCCCATGGGGCCGGATTCGCCCGCGGAGCCCTATGGGGGGTGATGGGGGGCGATGGGGGGCAATGGGAGTCAATGGGGGTCAATGGGGGTCAATGGGAGTCAATGGGGGTCAATGGGGGTCAATGGGAGTCAATGGGGGTCAATGGGGGTCAATGGGAGTCAATGGGGGTCAATGGGGGTCAATGGGGTCAATGGGGATCAATGGGGGTCAATGGGGGGCAATGGGAGTCAATGGGGACCCATTGGGGTCAGTGGGAGTCAATGGGAGTCAATGGGGGTCAATGGGGGGTGATGGGGTCAATGGGGGTCAATGGGAGTCAATGGGGGTCAATGGGAGTCAATGGGGGGCAATGGGAGTCAATGGGGGTCAATGGGAGTCAATGGGGGTCAATGGGAGTCAATGGGGGCCAATGGGGGGCAATGGGGTCAATGGGAGTCAATGGGGGTCGATGTGGTCAATGGGGATCAATGGGGGGCAATGGGGGTCAATGGGGGTCAATGGGGGTCAATGGGGATCAATGGGGTCAATGGGGGTCGATGGGAGTCAATGGGGGTCGATGGGGTCAATGGGGATCAATGGGGGGCAATGGGGGGCAATGGGGATCAATGGGGTCAATGGGGATCAATGGGGGGCAATGGGGGGCAATGGGGTCAATGGGGGTCAATGGGGGGCAATGGGGGTCAATGGGGGGCAATGGGGGGCAATGGGGTCAATGGGGGTCAAAGGGGGGCAATGGGGGTCAATGGGGGTCAATGGGGGGCAACGGGGGTCAATGGGGGTCAATGGGAGTCAATGGGAGTCAATGGGGGCAATGGGGGCAATGGGGTCAATGGGGGGCAATGGGGGTCAAGGGGAGTCAATGGGGGGCAATGGGGGTCAATGGGGGTCAATGGGAGTCAATGGGGGTCAATGGGGGTCAATGGGAGTCAATGGGGGCAATGGGGGCAATGGGGTCAATGGGGGGCAATGGGGGTCAAGGGGAGTCAATGGGGGGCAATGGGGGTCAATGGGGGTCAATGGGGGTCAATGGGGGTCAATGGGGGGCAATGGGAGTCAATGGGGGTCAATGGGGGTCAATGGGGGTCAATGGGGGTCAATGGGAGTCAATGGGGGTCAATGGGGGTCAATGGGAGTCAATGGGGGGCAATGGGAGTCAATGGGGGTCAATGGGAGTCAATGGGGGTCAATGGGGTCAATGGGGGTCAATGGGGGTCAAAGGGGGTCAATGGGGTCGATGGGGGCGATGGGGGTCAATGGGAGTCAATGGGGTCAATGGAGGGCAATGGGGGTCAATGGGAGTCAGTGGAATCAATGGGGGTCAATGGGGGTCAATGGGGGTCAATGGGAGTCAATGGGGGTCAATGGGAGTCAATGGGGGGCAATGGGAGTCAATGGGAGTCAATGGGAGTCAATGGGAGTCAATGGGGATCAATGGGGCTCAATGGGGGTCAATGGGAGTCAATGGGAGTCAATGGGAGTCAATGGGGGTCAATGGGGCTCAATGGGAGTCAATGGGAGTCAATGGGTGTCAATGGGGCTCAATGGGGGTCAATGGGAGTCAATGGGAGTCAATGGGGGTCAATGGGGCTCAATGGGACTCAATGGGGCTCAATGGGACCCAATGGGACTCAATGGGGCTCAACGGGGGTCAATGGGGGTCAATGGGGGTCAATGGGGGTCAATGGGAGTCAATGGGGCAATGGGAGTCATTGGGGTCAATGGGAGTCAATGGGGGTCAATGGGAGTCAATGGGGGTCAATGGGGGTCAATGGGGGTCAATGGGGCTCAATGGGGCAATGGGGGGCAATGGGGGTCAATGGGAGTCAATGGGGGGCAATGGGGGTCAATGGGAGTCAATGGGGGTCAATGGGAGTCAATGGGAGTCAATGGGGTTCAGTGGGGGTCAATGGGGGCAATGGGGGTCAATGGGGTTCAGTGGGGGTCAATGGGGGTCAATGGGGTCAATGGGGGTCAATGAGAGGCAATGGGGGTCAATGGGGGTCAATGGGGATCAATGGGGGGCAATGGGGGGCAATGGGGGTCAATGGGGTCAATGGGGTCAATGGGGGTCAATGGGGCTCTATGGGGCTCTATGGGGTCAATGGGGCTCAATGGGGATCAATGGGGGGCAATGGGGGTCAATGGGGTCAATGGGGTCAATGGGGGTCAATGGGGCTCTATGGGGCTCTATGGGGGGAGCTCACCGGGGGTCCCACGACGCCCGGGGGTCCCGGGGGCCCGGTTTTCCCTTGGAATCCCTATGGAAAAAGGGGGGGGGGAGGACAAGGAGTAAGGCAAGTTAATTAACATTTAGTTAACATGTAATTAACATGTAATTAACATACTTAATACGTATTTAATCCCCTCATTAATCCCCCATTACCCCCTCATTAACCCTCAATTAACCCCTCATTACCCCCTCATTAACCCTCAATTAATCCCTTATTACCCCCTAATTAACCCCTCATTACCCATTCATTCCCCCCTCATTAACCCTCATTAACACTTAATTAACCCCTCATTAACACTCAATTAACCCTCATTAACCCTCCTAAACCCTTAATTAACCCCTCATTATCCCTCATTAACCCCTGATCAACCCCTCATTAACCCTCATTAACCCCTAATTAACCCCTCATTAACCCCCTCATTAACCCAATTAACCTTTAATTACCCCCTCATTAACCCCTTAATTAACCCCTCATTAACCCTCATTATCCCCTCAGTAACCCCTCATTAACCCTCATTAACCCCTAATTAACCCTTAATTAAGCCCTCATTACCCCTTAATTAACCCTTCATTACCCCCTCATTAACACCTAATTAACGATAATTAACCCCACATTAACCCCTAATTAACCCCCATCAACCCTTAATTACCCCTCCTTAACCCTTAATTAACCCCTCATTAACACCTAATTAACCCCTCATTAACCCCTCATTAACCCTCATTAACCCCTCATTAACCCCTAATTAACCCCTCATTAACCCCACATTATCCCCTAATTATCCCCTCATTAACCCCTCATTAACCCCTCATTACCCCCTCATTAACCCCCATTACCCCCTCATTAACCCTCATTAACCCCCATTAACCCCTCATTAACCCCTCATTAACCCCTAATTAATCCCTCATTAACCCCTCATTAACCCCTAATTACCCCCTCATTAACCCCTCATGAACATCTCATTAACCCTTTATTAATCCCTCATTAACCCCTCATTAACCCCTAATTAACATCTCATTAACCCCTAATTAACCCCTCATTAACATCTCATTAACCCCTCATTAACATCTCATTAACCCCTCATTAACCCTCATTAACCCCTCATTAACCCCCAATTACCCCTCATTAACCCCTAATTAACATCTCATTAACCCCTCATTAACCCCTCATTAACCCCTCATTAACCCTCATTACCCCTTAACCCCTAACTAACATCTAATTAACCCCTCATTAACCCCTAATTATCACCTCATCAACCCGTAATTAGCCCTCATTAACCCCTCATTAGCATCTCATTAACATCTCATTAACCCCTCATTAACCCCTCATTAACATCTCATTAAGACCTAATCAACCCTCATTAACCCTCATTAAGCCCTAATTAACCCTCATTAACCCCTCATTAACCCCTCATTAACCCTCATTAACCCCTCATTAACCCCTCATTACGCCCTCATTAACCCCTCATTACCCCCTCATTAACATCTCATTAACCCCTCATTACCCCCTCATTAACATCTCATTAACCCCTCATTAACCCCTCATTAACCCTCATTAACCCCTCATTACCCCCTCATTAACATCTCATTAACCCCTCATTACCCCTCATTAACCCCTCATTAACATCTCATTAACCCTTAATTAACCCCTAATTAACCCACATTAACCCCGCATTAACATGTCATTAACCCCTCATTAACATCTCATTAAACCCCTAATTAACATCTCATTAACATCTCATTAACCCTCATTAACCCTCATTAAGCTGCTCACCCCTTCCCCTCGCTGTCCTGGGTGCCCGGGGAGCCCGTCCTTGCCGGGGGGGCCCTATGGGGAGGAGGTGGCACCGTGGGGACCCCCATGTGTGGGGCGCCCCATAGCAGAGCCTTGAGGACCCCCATGTGTGGGGCGCCCCATAGAAGAGCATTGAGGACCCCCATGTGTGGGGCGCCCCATAGAAGAGCATTGAGGACCCCCACGTGTGGGGCGCCCCATAGCAGAGCATTGAGGACCCCCATGTGTGGGGCGCCCCATAGCAGAGCATCGGGGACCCCCATGTGTGGGGCGCCCCATAGCAAAGCATTGGGGACCCCCATGTGTGGGGCGCCCCATAGCAGAGCATCGGGGACCCTCATGTGTGGGGCGCCCCATAGCAAAGCATCGGGCACCCCCACGTGTGGGGCGCCCCATAGAAGAGCATTGGGGACCCCCATGTGTGGGGCACCCCATAGCAGAGCATCGGGGACCCTCATGTGTGGGGCGCCCCATAGCAAAGCATCGGGCACCCCCACGTGTGGGGCGCCCCATAGAAGAGCATTGGGGACCCCCATGTGTGGGGCACCCCATAGAAGAGCATTGGGGACCCCTACATGTGGGGCGCCCCATAGCAGAGCATTTGAGTCCCCATGTGTGGGGCGCCCCATAGCAGAGCCTTGAGGACCCCCATGTGTGGGGCGCCCCATAGCAGAGCCTTGAGGACCCCCACTTGTGGGGTGCCCCATAGCAGAGCATCAGGGACCCCCAAGTGTGGGGCGCCCCATAGCAGAGCATTGGGGACCCCCATGTGTGGGGCACCCCATAGCAAAGCATCGGGGACCCCCATGTGTGGGGCGCCCCATAGCAGAGCATTGAGGACCCCCATGTGTGGGGCACCCCATAGGATAGCATTTGAGTCCCCATGTGTGGGGCGCCCCATAGCAGAGCACTGGGGACCCCCATGTGTGGGGCGCCCCATAGCAAAGCATCGGGGACCCCCATGTGTGGGGCGCCCCATAGCAGAGCACTGGGGACCCCCATGTGTGGGGCGCCCCATAGCAGAGCCTTGAGGACCCCCATGTGTGGGGCGCCCCATAGCAGAGCATCGGGGACCCCCATGTGTGGGGCACCCCATAGCAGAGCCTTAAGGACCCCAATGTGTGGGGCGCCCCATAGAAGAGCATTGGGGACCCCCATGTGTGGGGCGCCCCATAGCAAAGCATCAGGGACCCCCATGTGTGGGGCACCCCATAGCAGAGCATTGGGGACCCCCATGTGTGGGGCGCCCCATAGAAGAGCATTGGGGTCCCCCACATGTGGGGCACCCCATAGCAAAGCACTGGGGTCCCCCATGTGTGGGGCACCCCATAGCAAAGCACTGGGGACCCCCACATGTGGGGCACCCCATAGCAGAGCATTGGGGTCCCCCATGTGTGGGGCGCCCCATAGCAAAGCATTGGGGACCCCCATGTGTGGGGCGCCCCATAGGGCACCATTGGGACCCCCATTACTTACAGGGGGCCCTTTGGGGCCAGGGAAGCCGTTGGGTCCTTGAGGTCCTGGCAGGCCCTATATGGGGTGCAATGGGGTGAGGAGGGGGGGGGCACCCTGCCCCATAGCGCCCCATAGCGCCCCACATGGAGCTCGGACCCCCCCCCCCTTACCCGCTCTCCTATGGGGCCATGGGGCCCATCGCTGCCGGAGGTACCCTAATGGGGGGCAAAGGAGAGGGTTGGAGGCCCCATAGCGTAGCGCGCCCCATAGCGTGACCCATAGCCTGACCCATAGCCCCATAGCCTGACCCATAGCCTGACCCATAGCCTGACCCATAGCCCCATAGCCTGACCCATAGCCTGACCCATAGCGCACCCCATAGCCTGACCCATAGCCCCATAGCCTGACCCATAGCCCCATAGCGCACCCCATAGCCTGACCCATAGCCTGACCCATAGCCCCATAGCGCACCCCATAGCCCATAGCCTGGCCCATAGCCCCATAGCCTGACCCATAACCTGACCCATAGCCTGACCCATAACCTGACCCATAGCTTGACCCATAGCCCCATAGCGCACCCCATAGCCCCATAGCACACCCCATAGCCTGACCCATAGCCTGACCCACAGCCTGACCCATAGCCCCATAGCGCACCCCATAGCCTGACCCATAGACCCATAGCCTGACCCATAGCCTGACCCATAGCCCCATAGCGCACCCCATAGCCCCACACCCCACCCCATAGCCCCACATCCAACCCCATAGCCCCACATCCCGCCCCATAGCCCCAATCCCACCCCATAGCCCCAATCCCACCCCATAGCCCCAATCCCACCCCATAGCCCCACATCCCCCCCCATAGCCCCACATCCCACCCCATAGCCCCATAGCCTGACCCATAGCGCACCCCATAGCCCCACATCCCGCCCCATAGCCCCAATCCCACCCCATAGCCCTATAGCGCACCCCATAGCCCCAATCCCACCCCACAACCCCAATCCCACCCCATAGCCCCAATCCCACCCCATAGCCCCACATCCACCCCATAGCCCCATAGCCTGACCCATAGCGCACCCCATAGCCCCACATCCCGCCCCATAGCCCCAATCCCACCCCATAGCCCCAATCCCACCCCATAGCCCCACATCCCACCCCATAGCCCCAATCCCCCCCCATAGCCCCAATCCCACCCCATAGCCCCAATCCCACCCCATAGCCCCAATCCCACCCCATAGCCCCATAGCCTGACCCATAGCCCCACATCCACCCCATAGCCCAAATCCCGCCCCATAGCCCCACATCCCACCCCATAGCCCCACATCCCACCCCATAGCCCCATAGCCTGACCCATAGCCCCAATCCCACCCCATAGCCCCATAGCCCCATAGCGCACCCCATAGCCCCACATCCCGCCCCATAGCCCCACATCCACCCCATAGCAATCCCACCCCATAGCCCCATAGCCCCATAGCGCACCCCATAGCCCCAATCCCACCCCATAGCCTGACCCATAGCGCACCCCATAGCCCCACATCCCGCCCCACAACTCACCTTGGCCCCTGCCTTCCCCGTGGCTCCTCGTGCTCCTCGCTGCCCCCTTGGTCCCTTGCATGGGTGAAGATCCAAAGCCTCCATCCCCCTGCCCCATAGATCTATGGGGCCACCCCATAGCGCATCCCCCCCCCCCATATACTCACCGTGGGGCCCCGTTCCCCCCTTGGCCCTGATTTGCCCTCTGGACCCTATAGGAGACACAGAAGCACTTGGGGGTCACAGCCCCCTAACTTATGGGGCGGAGCTGCTATGGGGCATCCCGCCCCATATCTATGGGGCTCACTCACCCGCGCCCCCTTCTCGCCGTTGCTGCCTGGGAAGCCTGGGTATCCCTGCGATCCCTATGGATGCATATGGGGAGATGTGGGTCTGAGATGTGGGGTGAGGATGATGTGGGGCGCAATGAGGATCTATGGGGCAGCTCCATCACTCACCTTAGGACCTTGTCGCCCTGGGTAACCGGGGAGACCTGGAACCCCCAGTTTTCCCTATAGGATGTGGGGAGAAGGAGGGGTTATGGGGTGGGGGAGCATCTATGGGGCTGGGGATGGGTTCTGCCCCATAAGTGCCACTTCTCACCTTCTCCCCCCCAAGCCCTATAGGGCCGGGGTCGCCTATGGGGCCAGCGCGTCCTTTGGGGCCTTCGGGGCCGTCTTCCCCCCTAGATCCAGGAACCCCAATGTCCCCCTAATGTGTGGGGCAGAGGTTAAAGGTTAAGGGGGGGGGGGGGGAAGCGGTGTGGGGCAGCCCCTATGGGGCACAGCCCCATAGACTTACGCGGGCTCCTTTGACCCCCATGTCGCCTTTGAAGCCGGGGAAGCCTTCTTCGCCCTATGGGAGAGGAGGAGGATGGGGGTCATCTATGGGGTGATGGGGGTCATCTATGGGGTGATGGGGGTCATCTATGGGGTGATGGGGACCACTTATGGGGTGATGGGGACCACTTATGGGGTGATGGGTGCCATCTATGGGGTGATGGGGCCGGCTATGGGGTGATGGGGACCATCTATGGGGTGATGGGGGTCATCTATGGGGTGATCTATGGGGTGATGGGGACCACTTATGGGGTGATGGGGACCATCTATGGGGTGATGGGGGTCATCTATGGGGTGATGGGTGCCATCTATGGGGTGATGGGGACCATCTATGGGGTGATGGGGGTCATCTATGGGGTGATGGGGGCCATCTATGGGGTGATGGGGACCAGCTATGGGGTGATGGGGGTCATCTATGGGGTGATGGGTGCCATCTATGGGGTGATGGGGGCCATCTATGGGGTGATGGGGGCCATCTATGGGGTGATGGGTACCAACAATGGGGTGATGGGGACCAGCTATGGGGTGATGGGTGCCACCTATGGGGTGATGGGGGCCATCTATGGGGTGATGGGTGCCATCTATGGGGTGATGGAGACCATCTATGGGGTGATGGTTGCCATCTATGGGGTGATGGGGACCACTTATGGGGTGATGGGGACCACTTATGGGGTTATGGGTGCCATCTATGGGGTGATGGGTACCAGCTATGGGGTGATGGGGACCACCTATGGGGTGATGGGTGCCATCTATGGGGTGATGGGGGTCATCTATGGGGTGATGGGGGTCATCTATGGGGTGATGGGGGTCATCTATGGGGTGATGGGGACCATCTATGGGGTGATGGGGGCCATCTATGGGGTGATCTATGGGGTGATGGGTACCACTTATGGGGTGATGGGGGTCATCTATGGGGTGATGGGGGTCATCTATAGGGTAATGGGGACCATCTATGGGGTGATGGGGGTCATCTATGGGGTGATGGGGACCATCTATGGGGTGATGGGGGCCATCTATGGGTGATGGGGACTATCTATGGGGTGATGGACATCAATGGGGTGATGGGGGTCATCTATGGGGTGATGGGGGCCATCTATGGGGTGATGGGGGTCATCTATGGGGTGATGGGTGCCATCTATGGGGTGATGGGTGCCATCTATGGGGTGATGGGGGTCATCTATGGGGTGATGGGTACCACTTATGGGGTGATGGGTGCCATCTATGGGGTGATGGGGGGCATCTATGGGGTGATGGGGACCACTTATGGGGTGATGGGGACCAGCTATGGGGTGATGGGTGCCATCTATGGGGTGATGGGGACCACTTATGGGGTGATGGGTACCACTTATGGGGTGATGGGGACCACTTATGGGGTGATGGGGGCCACCTATGGGGTGATGGGGACCATCTATGGGGTGATGGGGACCATCTATGGGGTGATGGGGGTCATCTATGGGGTGATGGGTGCCATCTATGGGGTGATGGGGACCATCTATGGGGTGATGGGGACCACTTATGGGGTGATGGGTGCCATCTATGGGGTGATGGGGGTAATCTATGGGGTGATGGGGACCACTTATGGGGTGATGGGGACCACTTATGGGGTGATGGGGACCACTTATGGGGTGATGGGTGCCATCTATGGGGTGATGGGGGTCATCTATGGGGTGATGGGGACCATCTATGGGGTGATGGGGACCAGTTATGGGGTGATGGGTGCCATCTATGGGGTGATGGGTGCCATCTATGGGGTGATGGATGCCATCTATGGGGTGATGGGGACCATCTATGGGGTGATGGGTGCCATCTATGGGGTGATGGGGCCGTCTATGGGGTGATGGGTACCACTTATGGGGTGATGGGTGCCATCTATGGGGTGATGGATACCATCTATGGGGTGATGGGGACCATCTATGGGGTGATGGGGGTCATCTATGGGGTGATGGGGGCCATCTATGGGGTGATGGGGGCCATCTATGGGGTGATGGGGGTCATCTATGGGGTGATGGGTGCCATCTATGGGGTGATGGGGACCATCTATGGGGTGATGGGGGTAATCTATGGGGTGATGGGGACCACTTATGGGGTGATGGGTGCCATCTATGGGGTGATGGGTGCCATCTATGGGGTGATGGGGACCACTTATGGGGTGATGGGGACCACTTATGGGGTGATGGGTGCCATCTATGGGGTGATGGGGACCATCTATGGGGTGATGGGTGCCATCTATGGGGTGATGGGGACCACTTATGGGGTGATGGGTACCACTTATGGGGTGATGGGGACCACTTATGGGGTGATGGGTGCCATCTCTGGGGTGATGGGGACCACTTATGGGGTGATGGGGGCCATCTATGGGGTGATGGGGGTCATCTATGGGGTGATGGGGGTCATCTATGGGGTGATGGGTACCACTTATGGGGTGATGGGTGCCATCTATGGGGTGATGGGGACCATCTATGGGGTGATGGGGGCCATCAATGGGGTGATGGGGACCACTTATGGGGTGACGGGTGCCATCTATGGGGTGATGGGTGCCATCTATGGGGTGATGGGGACCATCTATGGGGTGATGGGTGCCATATATGGGGTGACGGGTGCCATCTATGGGGTGATGGGTGCCATCTATGGGGTGATGGGGACCATCTATGGGGTGATGGGTGCCATCTATGGGGTGATGGGGACCACTTATGGGGTGACGGGTGCCATCTATGGGGTGATGGGTGCCATCTATGGGGTGATGGGGGTCATCTATGGGGTGATGGGTGCCATCTATGGGGTGATGGGGACCATCTATGGGGTGATGGGGGTCATCTATGGGGTGATGGGGCCGTCTATGGGGCGCTATGGGGCAGGGATGGGACCCACCTTCTCTCCCTTGTGTCCTTTGAGGCCCCGGATGCCGTCTGCCCCCTATGGAGCGTGACCCACAAGTCCCAAATCCGCCTGGTTTCGCCCCATAACTGCCTCCCCCCCCCCCCGCCCCATAAGCCCAGCGCTTACCTTGACACCACGTGACCCCGGGTAGCCAATGGGACCTTGAGGACCTGAAGGACCCTATGGGGCAAGGAGGAGGTTGGAACCTCCCCATAGATGTGGGGCTGCCCCATAGATGTGGGGCTGGGGGTGCGCCAGAGGTGTGAGGCTGCCCCGTAGATGTGGGGCTGCCCCATAGGTGTGAGGCTGCCCCATAGGTGTGGGGCTGCCCCATAGATGTGGGGCTGCCCCATAGGTGTGGGGCTGGGGGTGCGCCAGAGGTGTGAGGCTGCCCCGTAGATGTGGGGCTGCCCCATAGGTGTGAGGCTGCCCCATAGGTGTGGGGCTGCCCCATAGATGTGGGGCTGGGGGTGCGCCACAGGTGTGAGGCTGCCCCCTAGGTGTGGGGCTGCCCCATAGGTGTGGGGCTGCCCCATAGGTGTGAGGCTGCCCCATAGATATGGGGCTGCCCAAGAGGTGTGGGGCTGCCCCATAGGTGTGAGGCTGCCCTATAGATAGGGTGCTGCCCCATAGATATAGGGCTGCCCCATAGGTGTAGAGCTGGCATTGCCCCATAGATATAGGGCTGACCCATAGGTGTGGGGCTGGCATTGCCCCATAGATATAGGGTTCCCCCACAGGTGTGGGGCTGCCCCATAGGTGTGAGGCTACCCCATAGATATAGGGCTGCTCCATAGATAAGGGGCTGCCCCAT